ACTCCGAGAACCTCTACCTCAGAAACCCCTTTTTCGTTAGCATATGGCTGTGAAGTGATGATCCTTGTGGAGGTAGGGACCGGTTCACTTCGGAGGGACCTGTTCAATGAAGTCGACAATGAAGTGCTCATGCGCGCAAGTCTGGATCTAGTTGAAGAACATCGCAGCAAGGCTCAGCTAAGAATAGCAGCTTATTAGCAACGCGCAAAAATGTTCTTCGACTCTAAGGTCAGAAGAAGAGACTTCCAGGTTAACGACCTCATTTTAAAGGAAGTCCTTCTCGGTACCAGAGAACCAAGCACGTGAGTTTTGGGACCGAACTGGGAGGGCCCATACCGCATCGCCAAAGTGATAAGACCGATGACTTATCATCTCAAAAGGCTGAATGGTTCCGAAGTACCGCGAGCTTGGAATGCTGAATATCTCCGACCATATTATCAGTAATTCCGAACTCAATTTTTTCCTTATAAAGATTTTACTTTTCTTAATCTTTATAAATAGCAAGTGTATAATTCTGTTCTTTTGTAATCATTTTCCCATGTATACAATTCTGTTCGCATAAACTTGTACCAATGTTATTGTAAACAGTTAGAATGCGATCTCATATGTAGTAGAAAATACGAAAATTGTAAGTACTCATGAAAGATTGTAAAAAGCGATGTTTTTATTTATAATAACAAGGGAAAGTACATGGGCAAAAAGGGAAAAGACTACAGAAGGAGATCAATGATCCTCGTCCCCAGGCTAGTCGTCGATCGCCTGTTCGGGTGCGGGCTGCTCTGGGACGAACTCCGGATGTTCCTCTTCCAGGTCAGGTCCTCGAGCCGCTTCCTCAGCCTCGGCCCATGCCATGGAAGCAAGTTCGTTCTGGTACTCGTCAAGGAGGTCGGACAGATCCATCTCAGGATTCTTTGGCCAAAGGGCAAAGATAGACTGAATCGTCCATTCTGCAGCCCTACTCTCGATATCTACCTCCTGCTGCTGCATCTCTATAGTTAGCAAAGTGACGCGACCTCGAGTGAAGTGGAGCTCGACCTCAAGCGTTGATCGCTGCTTCTCAGTAGTCTCCCATAGCTCTCTCATTTCCCTATCTGCTCGTAAGGCCTGCTTGGAGGTCGTTTACAGTGCCTGGTCTTTCTTGCTAGCCTCGCTGGTGAGTTTGGCCATGGTCCTCTGAAACTCCTTCACCTCATCGCTGCACTTCTCTAGCTTAGCCTTCTGAAAGTCCACCGTGCGAAGTGTAGCATCCCTTTCGGACAAATGCTGATTCGCCTAAACGATGGACGAGTCTCTGTCTGTTCGCGCGGGCCGCTAGTTTCCGTTTGAGCTGCACATTCTCTTCCCTCATCTCGACCAATCCCTCAACAGTCCCCAGTTAGACCTTCTGCAAGGATAGGTGCATGGAGAGTAGGGCCTGCATAATGAAGAGAATAAAGTTAGTCCTTTATATTACAAAAGCAAATATAAGTCCTTGCTGAGGGCAGCTCGTTTACCTGGCTTAGGTGCTGGAAGGACGTGGTCATCAGGTCCATAGTGCCGGATGCCACAAACTACTCAAAAGCCTCTACAAGCCCGCATTCCAGCAAAGCAAAGACTACCGGCTGCAGATGGTCCAGTAGCTAACCTATTGACTCCAGCACGAGGGTGTCTGTACCCATAGCAGGTAAAGTTCCCTTCGCTGGCTCCTTGGCCGACCTCCTCCCGAGGATTGCGACTACTTGTTGTCTTGTCTGCAGACCCTCGGGTGCAATGGAGATGTCGGTCGTGCCCCTAGGTGGCCCTCCCGAGCGAAAAGCTTGGTAAGATTGCGACCTCTTGGGCTAAACTCCCAAACCCTCCGGTTCGGACTCCGACTCCTCGGTCTGAATTTGCCTCCTCCTCTTAGACCTTTGGGCCGTGGTTTTCTGCTTCGGGTGAGCAGCCAAAGGCTAGGGAGTGCCCGTAGGTCAGGCCGAAGCACCCGCCGATGTCCCTCCGACGGGGGGACCGTTGGGTGCCGCTCTAGTTGGTCCAGTGGCACCCATCCGGGGGAAGGAAAATTGTCTTGGTCGTGGCGACCTGGGTACCTTGGGAGGCATGGTCGCTGCACACGAACATCGTTAATAAAACAGTTCGCTACATGCGAAATTAAAAAGGTTAAGGTCGAGAGGCTTACTCGGTGTGGTCTCTAGGGTCGCTTCTGAGATGAAGAAACTGTACTTTCATAAATTTGCGGTTGTCAGGAGCAATTTTGCGTCGCAACTCTCTTCGGGCAGAAAGCCGAAGGTAGCAATCTTGTCCGGATCCTCGAGGAGCTTTAACCTGGTCGTTTTGTTAACTGCGAAGAAACAAAGAGCTCGTTAGCAAAGAATGAAAGAAAGTTCACAAACTCAAAAAAAGGAAGACCTACTCGGCTCTTGAAAATGGCAAATGCCATCATGACGAAAGAAAAAGAACTTCATCTCGTATGCCCCTACGTTGCTCGGGTAACTGTGTATTCCCGCTTCAATGGTAGGTCGCTTGGAAAGATAGTAAAAATCCTTGTCCTTACTCTTTTTTAGAATGTACGAGCAACAGAGCTCTAGCGCGGTTAGCTCGCCCAATCCGTTCTCGTCGCACGCGATGTACATAGCCACGGCTATCATGTACGCGTTCGGCATGAGCTGTAATGGTGCGATCCCGAAATGATCGAATACCGACCTGACAAAAGGGTGGAAAGGGATCAACCCTCCACTCTTGAAAATATTCTCGGAGATCGCAGTCATCCCTCGTGGCAGACTCCGAGTTGTGTGTACCCTATCTCAGAAGACCTCCACGTCGAGAGCGTATTGGTCTACCACCTTCTGGATGTCATTGGTAGTAATTATTGACAGGATCTCTTGAGGGGGACCCTCCTCAATCCTGGTCGTCGGGGAGTCCATTCTTCTGCGGTCTGAAAAGAAAAGCGACATGCAGGGAATCACTCAATCTTCGTACACTGTTTCGTACAATGACGTAGAGGAAAAAGAAAATACTTCCTCCCTTAAACCCAAGAAAAACCCTAACATAATGCTTTTAGAGCCACCATCATTGGCTCAATCCCAAAGAAAATATTTCATCTCCGATCGACTACCGACAGACTGTCATCGCATGACAACTATTGAAAACAAGAAAAAATAGTAAAAGTGGCAAAAAGATCATCCTTACCTCTTGAAATGAGAAGATTAGCCCTCCTGCTCTAGATATCAAGCGTGCACCAATATGATAGACAAAGAACCAAGGCTCACGAAGATCTCTTGCTCTCTCTGAGAAAATGAATATTGTGACATTGCCTGAAGTGAGCTTGGGATTTTATAGGGAAGGAAATGGCGCTTTGGTTTCCCGAAGTCAAACGACGTTTGGGTGGAAAATACATCTAACCGTTGATCGCGACCATGTGTCGCGAATCAACGGAGAAGAGTGACCGTCACGCTTCAAGAAACCAAATCGTCGTTCTCTTCCGTTGAAACACTCAAGCGACGACACGTTTTCCCTCCTCCACATTAAATGCGCTCACATCCATATTTAATGCTCTAATAGGGAATGTCGTTTCAGTATGGCTCGCATTTAATGCGCATGGTTGGAACTTATTGCGCACAGGACATGTCTGTCAAAGCAAAAGATATTTCATTAAATGCATCAGCTATAAAAGTACAATGGATAACATCTGAAAAGGTCATTACGTACAACACTCTTCGACTCATGTCTCATCGCTAAGCGATGTGACCCCTCGATCTTGTCTCGTGTCAACCACGAGGCGACATGACTCTTCGACTTGGATGAATATCGGTCGCAAAGCCACACGATCCCTTGCCTTAAGCGAAAAATTTCGCAAAGTGCAATCAGGTCGTAAACCTCGGACGAAGGTCAAAGTCATCGTCGTGGTACTAGATATGGTCTAATACAGGTCGCTGACCCTTAAAGTAAAGGCCATTTCAGGTCGCTTGCATGAAAATGTTTCTTCGACCTCTTTGCATCCAGGTCGGGTCAACCAGTGTTCAAACGCATCAAATCAAGGCATAATGTATAGTTTCCAAGGTTCGATTCTCAAACCTTAAAAATTAGGGGACTTCTGTTATGCTTGGAAAAGTAGGGCTGACGCTGAGCCCTGTCAGCATAAGTGGTCAGAGCTTAGGTAAGTCCAGCAGCCGTTCAGATGCAGTCACGTCGCACGCTGACACAAGAGGCGTGCTCTTGCTAGTGCAGTAGGTGTGCGTTAGGCTGGTGAAAGGTTGGAGGTGATCCACGTGTTCAATCCCTACAAGAATCGAGTAAATCACTCGAGCAGGTGAATAACGGGGCATAATGGAGGATTTGGACGACAATCTTATCTACTCCCTGATTTAGTAATCATTATCTCAATTCATCCCACTATAAATAGAAGACTCCTCTCCCGTTTGTAGGATTAGCTAAATTCTCTCTAGAATAGCATGCTTATTTTCTCTTTGTAATCACTTGTAAATCAGCTCGCTGAGCATGACCTGACCTCAGTGTATTAATACAATATCAGTGGACATAGAAATCGCTTGTTTAAGCATCCGAGCCACTTTAAACATCGTTCTCCATCTCTTATCCATTCTCATACCTCCACTGACATGTGTTTTCTAAGTCAACTCAGTAATTTACATATGTGTTTAGTTGATATCAAAATCACGCATCAACACAGATAATATGCGAGCTACTAAAGCTTGAGCTCAACTCTAGTTGAGTCCGAGCAGCTAGCAAGGAGCTTGACTCGTTTCGCAGTATTTGGAAATGCCATTGAAACTTCTTTTCGGCGCCACGTGCTTGGAGTCATTGTCCTGTCTCTTCGAATATTTTACGAGAGTGATGTGTTATTTAATATGCACCATATTTGGTACTAGGCGTTGACTGGCAGCACAAGTCCGGGGATTCGTTTTGTCTCTATTTACCAATTATTGATTTGGTTTTGATCCATCTATTTTATTTTTTACTGGATTATTATTATTTCACTCAACTCCACTCTACTTTCAACTAAACTTCAGTCTCTCGCAACTGAGCTCTGGTTTCAGAATGGCAACAAAACTTCCATTTCTCGTACCCCACCAAACTCCCACCTCCCCACCGCCTTTTGAATCCCAACGCTCTCGTTTTCCTTATTCCCGCCAAAATCTTCTCTCAATCTCTCCAACAACCAGAATCTTTTCAGTTTCAAGTGATCAATCAGCATCCTCATCATCACTATCTCTAAACAAAAGTAATGTCTTTCTCTCGCCTCCTTTCCCTAATCCTTCCGATCAGACCCGAAATGTTACCGTCAGATCCCAGATAAATTTCCCCCTCATTTCTCCCCACGACCAATGGGGCACGTGGACTGCCCTCTTCGCTACCGGCGCTTTCGGTATCTGGTAATTTCCACTCTACCTCTTTAAACGTGTTGTGGAAATGAGCATTACAGTGGTGTTGAATTTGTTTTTACAATGAAATTTGAAGGTCAGAGCGGACCAAGATTGGTAGCGCATTGAGTGGGGCGCTAGTCAGCACTTTGGTTGGTCTCGCAGCTAGTAATTTGGGGATTATTTCATGTGAATCCCCTGCGTACAAAATTGTGTTGGAGTTTTTGCTCCCCTTAGCTGTTCCATTGTTGTTGTTTAGAGCTGACTTGCGTCGCGTGATTAAGTCCACGGGGGCCCTTCTATTAGCTTTCTTGCTGGGATCAGGTAGTAGGCTTGTTTATCATGTTGAAACACACAAGATAAAGTGATATGAGGACCTTATTGTGGATCTTTGACTCAGATTTTTTATTTTATCCAGCTAGATTGGAGTATTTGTGAGCTTTGTTTGCTTTTGATGCATGACAGTTGCAACAACATTTGGAACAGCATTGGCATTTCTGATTGTCCCAATGCGGTCACTTGGTCAAGATAGTTGGAAAATAGCAGCTGCCCTCAAGGGTAGACACATTGGCGGAGGTTATTTTCTTTAATGTTCTTTTTCACTTTCATGATGTTCTTTGTGAATCTCTATCTTTATTCATTTTGGATTGTGTGTCATGACTAATTGTAAATTTTCGGTGTTTTTCGCAGCTGTAAATTATGTTGCTATTTCCGATGCTCTTGGTGTTTCTCCATCAGTTTTAGCTTCTGGATTAGCTGCAGATAATGTTATTTGTGCAGTATATTTTACGTCATTGTTTGCGTTGGCTTCTAAAATACCGGCCGAATCTTCACCACCAACCACTGGTGCGTAGAATTCTCATCTCCATATGGTTTTATTGTTTGCACTTCTACCATCTTCATTGTGATTTGTGAATGAATTATGGTCCAGCTTTTATTTGACAGATGGTTGTTGGACCTAAGTGACCTTTTTACTCTATAAATTAGTTCACTTTACAAAACATATTTCTTGCAATTTAGATTTGGTTTATGGGTCATTGTGATTGTAAAACAAAGATGAGTTACTCTATCCATAAAATAGTTTTACTATCCTTGATTTTATCCATGATTACTGTCAGCCTTTTCTTTGTTTGCAAAGGCTACATTTTAGTGTTTCCTTTTTACACTGACTCTGATGCTCGGAATATGATAGTTACAGAACAACAGAATTGTTTCACTCAACCAAAATTTGTAACATCTGATTTAAAAGTTTGATGTTTGACAGATGTTTCAATGGATTAAGAATCCAACCCTGGTGGCAAAATTCCTGTTCTGCGGTTTGCTACAGCGCTTGCTGTAACCTTAGCTATCTGCAAGGCTGGTACTTATCTCGCGAAATATTTTGGCATTCAGGGAGTTAGCCTGCCGGCCATAACAGCTATTGTTGTTATTTTAGCAACTGCACTTCCAGCTCAATTTAATAAACTTGCACCAGCTGGTGAGGCTATGGCTCTAATTCTAATGCAGGTGAGTCAATTTTCATGGATCAAGCTCACCTTAGTTTGTCATTTGTACCATCCTGAATACATGATGCTATGTTTATGGTTTTTGCAGTAAGATTTTATATCTTTATGTGGCATTGCTAAGTGTTGAAGTTTGCTGATAATGAAATGTTAATGTATCCTGTTTTGAGAACAGGTATTTTTTACGGTAGTGGGTGCAAGTGGTAACATATGGAATGTCCTCAACACGGCTCCAAGCATTTTCTTGTTTGCTCTTGTCCAGATATCTATCCATCTCGCTGTGATCCTTGGATTAGGAAAGCTATTCCGATTTGATATGAAGCTGTTGCTTATAGCATCAAATGCAAATGTCGGAGGCCCTACAACTGCATGTGGAATGGCCACGGCCAAAGGTTGGAGTTCTTTGATTGTTCCTGGTATTCTTGCTCGCATTTTTGGAATTGCCATTGCAACTTTTCTTGGCATTGCCTTTGGAGTGACAGTCCTAAAATACATGTAGAACCTGCAAAAGTCTATTCTTTTGGTATCAGGCTCATAAATAACATTTGTGAACTTCACTTTCAATGCATATTGCTGTTGATTTGCGAAGTCTCTGTTGAAGAGGACTGTTTAGAAAGATTTGTACCGAATGAATCAAAACATTAACATGATCCTCAAGGGACAAATCTGCTTTGAAGAGAGGAAATCCAACCTTAAAAAGATAATATGATTTAAGTCTCAATGAGATGTAGGCGTACCCAATTATTCATTCACAACATCAATTTATGGGAATCTTTATAGAGAAGAGTAGTGTTACTGTTAATCATCACAAATTAACGATATGAAACTTGGATTTTAACTTTGAATACATGTAGTACAACAAACAGACGGTCACACAGAATCTAAAGTTGGAGGATTCGCAGAAAACTTTTCTGCGTCTCCATTTTTCAGGAACTCGTAATGACGCCACGTGGACTAATGGCAAAGCTTTGTACAAGAAGAAGATAAACACAACAAAACGAAACGCACACACGCAAGACTCTCGTCTCGTCTCGTCTCCTTAGAGAGATAGGGAGACAAGAATTCACCATTAATGGCTATGGCTTCCGCTACTCTGTTCTATCATCCCTCACAACCAATCCCATTCCTCCACCTGTTACCCTCCTCTTCCCGCCATAACCTTATCACTCTCTCGTTTCGAGCCACAAAGCCAACGCCTCTTTCACTTTCACCCTCTATATTTTCTAAGAGCTACAACCCCATTCGATCTTTTAAGGTCCTGTCACAGCTGAATTACCCGGTCATTTCTCCGGACGACCATTGGGGCACGTGGACGGCTCTTTTCGCCACGGGGGCTTTTGGTCTCTGGTCAGAGAAGACCAAGATTGGGAGCATGGTGAGTGCAGCTCTGGTGAGCACATTGGTCGGATTGGCAGCCAGTAATCTAGGAATAATTCCTTGTGAAGCACCAGCATATTCAATGTTCTTGGAGTTTCTGCTTCCTTTATCTGTGCCATTGCTCTTGTTTAGAGCTGATTTGCGTCGCGTTATTCGTTCAACTGGGACTTTGCTCTTCGCTTTCTTGATCGGATCAGGTATTGGCCGTTATATACTAGCATACAATTTTTTTTTTTCCAAACTTAGAAGAGTTTAATATTAAAGGGATTATGTTTGTTTTACTCATTGTATCCTGAGTTTTAACATTAGTAGCACTGGTAGATTGGCATGTAACTATATTGGGTTACATTAAAGAATTTTTTTCTCTAATGTTGAAGTTATTGAGGATAGCAATTTGTTTTGCTTGGTTTCAGTAAACAAACTGATACTGTGAGTGGTGTAACGCTTTGTAATACTGAAGAAAAGGGCGAGAGCCGAAAGTTTTGAATACTATATATATGAGTGGAGTCAAAAGGAAGAATGCTTATCAGTTTTTTATCAAAACAGAAGAATGTTGAGTAGTTGTTTGTTTATGGTATCCATGTTTTACTAATTATATAGACACAACGAGTCTGACTTAAGTGTCTGATATTTATTTTTAGGTAAGCCTATGAAAGAATTAGGACCATAGCTTTTGAGTGGAGGTGTGCATGTTCAGCGATCTTAGTAGTGGTGCGGATTGTGAAAGACTGATTTATTTTTGAATCTTGCAAGTTCCTCATCATTTATATGATCATCTATTTTAATTTATCAGACCTCTTATACGTAACTGAGTGAGTCACATGGGAAGCTCATAAATGTTATTTCCTTGGTATAGTTAATGCACTAAACCCTTTATGATCCTCGGTAACTTTTCTTTCTATTTTGTATGAAGTTGCGACTATTGTTGGAACGGTAGTGGCTTTCCGGTTGGTGCCTATGCGATCACTTGGAGAAGATAGTTGGAAAATAGCGGCAGCTCTCATGGGTAGTTATATTGGTGGATGTAAGTTTTCAGGAGATGTTGCATCTTACTTTTGGACTGAGCTCTCTGTTTGATAGTACGGATTATAATATCTTCTATTAGCTCCATTCTCCCCCATTCTTTGTGCCAATTGCTAACAGCATTATATCACTGATTAGCTCTTTTTTGTAGCTGCAATTCCTCAGTACTCTTCTCATGTTGTCTATAATGAAATGAACTCTCTGTTATGGTTACTTATACTCTTGTGGGGCATTCATTTGTAACAGAATGTAATTTGTAGAAGGGAACTTGAGGGTTGGATTTCGTTTAACCGAAATTGTACAATGACATATTGGATTTATCCTGCCAAAGTTGATTGTAGTGATAATCTGTAAACATGTGATTTTGCATTAGTTTCTGTTTCGTTTGAGGTTCAATTATCATCTATCATTTAAGTATAACAAGGAAGAGGGAATTAAGAGGCTGAGGGGGAGGGGGAGGAAGATAAGTTTATTTTACTTGTTCAACAATTACTCATTTGCAGTGGCTTTGTATTTTTAGACCGTCAAACATCTTATTTTTTGACATGCAGCTAACACAAAGCTGCCGTGACATGTTAAACTGTTATCAATAAATTCTGGAGTTGTTCTATAGATACTATTTGACTATATAATTGCTAAATTTGGTGCTTTCAGTTCCTTGAATGTAGCTGTCACATGTACATTTCTGTGACCTAGTTCCATGTTATAACTGACGACGTTTTTCCTTTTCCTTTTCCTTTTCCTTCTTTACTGTTGCAGCTATTAATTATGTTGCAATTTCAGAGGCTCTTGGTGTTTCTCCATCAGTTTTGGCTGCCGGAGTAGCTGCAGACAATGTTATTACTGCAATATACTTTATGATATTGTTTGCTTTGGCCTCTAAAATACCTCCTGAGGCTTCAGCAGCCAGTGGTATGTGCCATTTTGCTTTGATACCATATAATTTAGTTTGACCCCACCTTCTCCTGGTTTCTGCTATCAACTCTGGTAGCTGTGTATGGTATTTGACAATAAAAGCTTGTTGTCTCTCCTTAACAGATACGTTATTTAGTCTATCAATTTCCCCTATTTTGTTTGACCATCCAGAAAAAATATGCCTTGACAGTTATGGATCGCGTACCTATTTATTCCAATTGATTTTATCATTGTTTTGATGTTGATGTGAGTAGATTAACACTACAATCAGATGTGCACCATCTTTATCATCTTATGCAAACTCTTACCTCTATTAAAACCAGAAATTCTCTTGCAGGTGTTGAAATGGATGCAGAGTCTAATTCTGGAGGCAAGACACCTGTGCTACAGACTGCTATGGCTCTTGCCATATCCTTTGCAATATGTAAGACTGCCACTTACATCACGAAATTGTTCGGAATTCAAGGAGGCAACCTTCCAGGAGTGACAGCTATTGTTGTCCTTTTGGCTACCGTGTTCCCAAAACTATTTGCTAATCTTGCACCAGCAGGTGATACCATTGCTCTGGTCCTGATGCAGGTAACTGACACATCTCCTTTGCATTTGATTTCCTTTCTATGGAACTGCTAATCTGCTATGGATACTTACGTGACCCAAAATATTCTTGACTCTATTTTTAATAATAGATACAAAGATTCCTGTTAAGAACAGCAAATGTTTCAGGTTTGACTAGGATTTATCAAGTAAATGGTTATAAATTTTATGGCAGTGTTCTTGATTTTTCAATTTATCTGAGTCAACAACACATATGAAAACCCCAGACATCTTTTTGTGGCTGTTTAATAAACGTTTCCATTTGACATGTTTTATGTGTTCTACAACAGGTATTTTTTGCAGTGGTGGGTGCGAGTGGGAGCATATGGAATGTCATCAACACAGCACCTAGTATTTTCTTGTTTGCTCTAGTTCAAGTACTTGTTCATATCGCCGTGGCCCTTGGATTGGGAAAGCTTTTTCGGTTTGATTTAAAGCTGTTACTTATTGCATCAAATGCTAATATTGGAGGTCCTACAACAGCATGTGGAATGGCGACGGCCAAAGGATGGGGTTCTCTAATTGTTCCTGGGATTCTTGTAGGCATTTTTGGAATTGCCATTGCCACTTTTCTTGGCATTGGATTTGGAAAGATGGTTCTTAAATACTTGTAAATTCAATGAAACTTGGCATTTGGTTTGGAATAATTGCCTCAATTAAACACACTATTAAATTTCACAAGTCAATAATATTGTTTTTGTACATCTAGGGAATATTGTTTTAGTCTATCCAATTGGTGAGATAGAGCAAACAAAAGCTATATTTATTGCATTTACGTTGCTGATGATTTCATTAACAATCGGATGGTCATAGTTAACCAGATCTTTGCCCTTACTTAGTAGTGAAAACTGAAAGTCAGCCACTGACTGTTTAATTGCATGGTGGAAGTCAATGAAATGCAGTAATGCATTATTAATTTATAGGCGAGATTTTTTATTTCCAAAGTCAAAATTTCAGATGATGTAAAATGATGCTAACAGAAATTCTTTTAAAATACGTTTATAGTATTTAATATCTGATTTCGTTCATCAAGAAATCTTCTGCTGAATGGTTATGAGTGGCTGCGTATTATTATACGTAACTGACTAGAAATTCTAGGCCTTTCCTAGTTTTGCATGTTTTGAGTTTCGAATGGACGTACTCTTGTACTACTGCCCAATTGTCAACTGTACTTTCATTAACCAAAGTCAACTGTATACTTTCAGATTGCAATGGTAATTATCTACTGTACAAATATTATTCTCAAATACTGAAGTAGAATTACCATTTATTTGTCTTCTTCCCAAGGGATTTGAAGGCCAGGTGACAATACCCAGTAACCCAAGCCAATCTTTAATCTTGATTAGCAAGGTGATATTTTGAAGCCTAACCCTTTTCAAATTGATCGATTCCTTTTAGATTGTTCAGATATATAAAACTCTGCCAATGGCTAGCAAGCGATAAATATATAAAAGTTATGTGTAGAATATATAAGATGTGCTGTCATTCTTCTTTCTTTTTCAAGGAAAAAATTATTCTTTTTCCTGATAGATACAAGATATCGTCAAAATTTTATATGCTTGATGAAGCCAGCATGGCCACATGTGATATATAGCGCCCCAGATCAATCGTGTGATGTAAAATATATACCATCTGATGGTGACAAATTTATATCCGACTGATTAATTAACTTTGTTAATATATTTATCATTGTTATTATGCCTAAAAAATCACGCTTATATCAGTCTAATAAATATCTTTTTGTATTAGCTGTCAAGCCCATATCTCTTCAAAGATATTCATACCAACCCTATCTCATTTCAAAAGATGAATGGATGAGAGTCTTCCATATGTCAAGACAACTTACAAAACACTCGTTACATTGAGTTCAGAGGTGTATAAATTGGCACTTCTCTTCCCGAAAAGGGAGACTGGGCATATGAGAGTTAGGCATAGATTTGAGCTCAATTCTTTCTCTCTGTAAACACTATATTTCTTTATCTTTGTATGTCTTACGGGCAACATCATAGAAATAGTCAGAGATCAATAAAATAACAGTGAATGTAGGAATCGCTTGTTTAAGCATCCGAACTATTATAAAAATCTCTCTTGTTAGCTTATTATTTATGTTTTCTGTAACATATATAATCTCAGCTCCATATTCAAATCTCATGCATCCATCACATGTAATTTCTAAAATCCTCTTAATAGTTTGCGCGTGCGAGTCGTTGTCCAAAATCATAAGTCAACAATCATTATTATCTGATATGAGATGATGCATTATCTGAATAAAAAGCCATTGACTTACAGTAATTATTCACCAAATTATAGCTGTACAATGTGTGTAAAATGGACTTTAACAACAGACGACTGGCTTAATAGTGCATGAATCATGCTGTTTTCTTTTCTTTTGCTAATAAATTGATCTATAAAGAGGCAATAATTAATGCAAATTGCCTCCCATCTATTATAAATTCTTCTTCTCACCACATATAAAAACATCTCTACTTTCACTTGAGGATAGGCAGCTGTAACTTCAAAGGATCGATCCGCTTGAGAAGATATGGGCAGCCGCACTTTACCGTTAAACACCATATGTTTTGTGGTGTTTCTTGCCTGGCTTCTGGTTTGGGTTCTGCTTCCCACCAAGATTTACAAACAAACATGGACTCCCAAACTAAACTCCAACCTCAACTCCACATATTTTGGAGAAAAAGGTTTTCTTTTGCTTATTTTCTCTGTTGCTTCTACTACGGTTCGTTAGTATTTAATTTGTTGCTGATCATTACTGAAATTCTTTGAAAGCGCATCGTTGAATATAATGTTGCAGGGACAAATCTTCTACTTTTTTCGTTCCCTATAATGCTCATTGCAGTTCTGGGCTGCGTTTATCTCCATCTTCAGAAGAAACGTCGGCTTAATCCCAATAGGTACTTGAAGCAGTTTCTCTTGAAAAATGTTCTTTCTTATCTTCTTCTTCATCATCTCTTGACTATGTTGCTCTAGATTTTTACGTTATTTTCATACATGCATCTGTGTTGAACGGTTGCAGCGAGATGAAATGCAATTGTGTGACCTTCTCGAGACGTCCGGTGCTGGTAATGGCTCCTCTAGGAATTGTAACTGCACTGGAGCTTACTTTTGTAGTCATGTTCATAGCACTCATGATTTGGTCCCTTGGTAATTACTTATATGTCAGCTTTGGTCATCTCCACATGCATAAAGCTGGAGAAAAAGTGTGAGTGTAGAAAAGTTTTCTCCAATCTCTTCGATTTCCCATCTTATTAATGGCTAATTAATTTAGCCATGCAAAGAACTTAGATCTTTACATGATTAATTCTATGACAGTGCAAAACAACTAGCTTTCTCCTTTGTTATTGCTTGAGCTTTTTTATAGATTAATTCTTGGAGGTGCAGGTGGCAAGCCAAGTTCCGAAGTGTATCGTTAAGACTTGGGTATATTGGAAACACATGCTGGGCATTTCTGTTCTTTCCGGTGACTCGAGCCTCTTCAATTTTGCCTCTTGTTAGGCTCACGTCGGAGTCAAGTATCAAGTATCATATCTGGCTTGGCCATCTCTCTAATCTCCTCTTTGTGGCGCATACTGTTGGCTTTATTATTTACTGGGCCATGACTGACCAAATGATTGAGGTACAATTCATATTCCTCTTAAATTGTTCTTTACTTTTTGTTCAATATTTTTGGATTTTTGTACGAATTTGATCATTGATGTTCTTAAAAGTGAGATGAAAAATGCGATTATCTTTTATCTTGTGGGTTGAGCTTATTGGAACCTGAATTACGTTGTCTTTCTTATTTGACACTAATAGGAAAAGAATGATGGTGGGCTTAGATTCCTTTTGGCTTCTTCCTCTTTTTCTTCTTTTCTTTTCAAAAAGGCAAAGAGAATATGGATGAGTACTGATTGTGTTTGCATGTTTTCAACTCTTTATGGATCGAGTAGTATGTACAAGCCAAAAACACACCATCAATGAAAGATAAATATGAGGTCCAAATTAACCAGTTTGATTTATAAGTTAGATGATAATTTTTGTTTTTGTGAAACCGAAAATCAGACACGTCACAAGTTCACAAGTAAAGTATAAAATAAAAGACAGAACATATAATTCATCTTAGTTCGTTTCGACTAAAGAACTACATCCAGCATTCAAACAAATAATTTTTATTGAGTATAAGAACTCTACGTCAATTACAACTACAGCTCACTCTTACTCTTTATATTTTTTCACATTAGCCTTCTTATTATTACAAAATACTCATAATAGAAAACCCTAACCTCATTTGGACTTACTAGAATCTAACCCGACCCGGACCTAAATATTAGGGTTTAGGCTAAGAGAGTGAGAGAAGTATACACCATATCCAACAATGGATTGGTATAAGATATATTTACCTTATTTATTGGAATATGTGGAAATGAATGGAATCCTCTTATTATGTTTGCTTATATGAATGTGGACATTGGAAGCAAATTTTAATTTGATCTTTAATAATACCTGCAGTTACTGGAATGGAGCAAAACTTATTTATCAAATTTAGCTGGGATGATTGCAACTGTAATTGCAGTGGTGATGTGGGTGACAAGCATGCCTCGCTTTAGGCGAAAGATGTTTGAAGTTTTCTTCTACACTCACCATCTCTACATTATTTTTATCATCTTCTATGTATTGCATGTTGGCTCTGCCTATTTTTGCATGATCCTTCCAGGAATCTTTCTCTTTGTTGTGGATCGATACTTGAGATTTCTACAGTCACGAAAACGTGCTAGATTACTCTCTGCTCGCCTCTTACCATGCGACGTTGTTGAATTGAACTTCTCCAAGAGTGCTGGTAATTATAAGCCTAGCCAACAACTACAGAAAATTAATAATTAATCCGAAGCATCAAATTATTTAACTTAATTCATTTGTGCTAATTATATACAGAATTGTACTATAATCCCACAAGCATGTTGTTCATAAATGTGCCAAGCATTTCCAGGCTTCAGTGGCACCCTTTTACTGTGACTTCCAACTGCAACATGGAGCAGGATAAGTTAAGCATTGTTTGTAAAAGCGAGGGAAGTTGGACTCAAAGGCTTTATCAAGAAATTTCTTCTTCTATTGATCGTCTTGAAGTCTCTATTGAAGGACCCTATGGTCCTAATTCAGCTGATTTTCTAAGGTCGTGTGGACAGATTAAAGTTTAATTTTCATGTGGGTTGGTGCTATAAATTATATACTTAATTCTCCACTGCATGTTATTAACAACGAATAATCTAATTGCTTTCCAGGCATGAAACACTGGTGATGGTGTGTGGAGGGAGTGGCATTAGTCCTTTCATTTCCATAATCAGGGAGATCATATTTCAAAGTACCAAACCAGATTACCAAGCTCCCAATGTTCATCTCATTTGTGCCTTCAAGAACTTTTCTGACCTTTCCATGTTGGACCTCTTGCTTCCAATCTCCGGCACACCGGCAGAAATTTCAAAACTACAATTACAGATAGAAGTCTATGTAACCAGAGAGATTGAACAGCCCAAAACAGACACCCAAAAGCTACTCCAATCCTTATGGTTTAAGGCAAATCCATTGGACTCACCAATTTCCACGGCTCTGGGTCCTAAAACTTGGCTATGGCTTGGTGCAATAATAGCATCATCATTTGTCATGTTCCTCCTCTTGTTGGGCATTATCACTCGCTACTACATTTACCCAATTGAAAGAAACGGCACTGAAGTTTACCATTATTCGTACAAGTGTCTCTGGGATATGTTTCTGGTTTGTGCTTGTATTTTTATAGCTTCTAGTGCAGTTTTCCTATGGTGCAAGAAAGAGAATGATCACAGGGAAGAGAAGCAAATTCAGAACGTGGAAGTGCCAACACCGACAACATCACCAGGTTCGTGGCTTTACAGTGCAGATAGGGAGCTGGAAAGCCTTCCCAATCAGTCTCTTGTTGAAGCTACCAAGGTGCATTTTGGTGAAAGACCAAATCTCAAAAGTAAGTTATTGCTACTTCTACCAAATCACTAATTAATTATAATAAGATTAGAGAGTTATTGTGTTATTATTGTTAACTAAAATATATTCAATAAGTGAATTGGTGCTGTTTTAATTTGCAGAAATACTGTTTGGTCTGAAAGGATCGGACGTGGGAGTTTTAGTTTGTGGCCCCAAGAAAATGAGATATGAAGTCGCCAAGATTTGTGCGTCTGGGTTAGCAGATAACTTGCATTTTGAGTCCATTAGCTTCAACTGGTGACGACAGGTTTAACGATAGATAAAAAGGTCTGAACTTTTTAGGTCTCATTGCATAATCTCCATCTTTTAAATGTGTATTATTATGTGAAATAAATAAAGTTGATGTGATGTAGACAAAAGAATTCTCTGTATTCAGTCCAAATGGAATATTTGGGATGCTTTATCATATCTCATGGGNAATGGATTGGTATAAGATATATTTACCTTATTTATTGGAATATGTGGAAATGAATGGAATCCTCTTATTATGTTTGCTTATATGAATGTGGACATTGGAAGCAAATTTTAATTTGATCTTTAATAATACCTGCAGTTACTGGAATGGAGCAAAACTTATTTATCAAATTTAGCTGGGATGATTGCAACTGTAATTGCAGTGGTGATGTGGGTGACAAGCATGCCTCGCTTTAGGCGAAAGATGTTTGAAGTTTTCTTCTACACTCACCATCTCTACATCATTTTTATCATCTTCTATGTATTGCATGTTGGCTCTGCCTATTTTTGCATGATCCTTCCAGGAATCTTTCTCTTTGTTGTGGATCGATACTTGAGATTTCTACAGTCACGAAAACGTGCTAGATTACTCTCTGCTCGCCTCTTACCATGCGACGTTGTTGAATTGAACTTCTCCAAGAGTGCTGGTAATTATAAGCCTAGCCAACAACTACAGAAAATTAATAATTAATCCGAAGCATCAAATTATTTAACTTAATTCATTTGTGCTAATTATATACAGAATTGTACTATAATCCCACAAGCATGTTGTTCATAAATGTGCCAAGCATTTCCAGGCTTCAGTGGCACCCTTTTACTGTGACTTCCAACTGCAACATGGAGCAGGATAAGTTAAGCATTGTTTGTAAAAGCGAGGGAAGTTGGACTCAAAGGCTTTATCAAGAAATTTCTTCTTCTATTGATCGTCTTGAAGTCTCTATTGAAGGACCCTATGGTCCTAATTCAGCTGATTTTCTAAGGTCGTGTGGACAGATTAAAGTTTAATTTTCATGTGGGTTGGTGCTATAAATTATATACTTAATTCTCCACTGCATGTTATTAACAACGAATAATCTAATTGCTTTCCAGGCATGAAACACTGGTGATGGTGTGTGGAGGGAGTGGCATTAGTCCTTTCATTTCCATAATCAGGGAGATCATATTTCAAAGTACCAAACCAGATTACCAAGCTCCCAATGTTCATCTCATTTGTGCCTTCAAGAACTTTTCTGACCTTTCCATGTTGGACCTCTTGCTTCCAATCTCCGGCACACCGGCAGAAATTTCAAAACTACAATTACAGATAGAAGTCTATGTAACCAGAGAGATTGAACAGCCCAAAACAGACACCCAAAAGCTACTCCAATCCTTATGGTTTAAGGCAAATCCATTGGACTCACCAATTTCCACGGCTCTGGGTCCTAAAACTTGGCTATGGCTTGGTGCAATAATAGCATCATCATTTGTCATGTTCCTCCTCTTGTTGGGCATTATCACTCGCTACTACATTTACCCAATTGAAAGAAACGGCACTGAAGTTTACCATTATTCGTACAAGTGTCTCTGGGATATGTTTCTGGTTTGTGCTTGTATTTTTATAGCTTCTAGTGCAGTTTTCCTATGGTGCAAGAAAGAGAATGATCACAGGGAAGAGAAGCAAATTCAGAACGTGGAAGTGCCAACACCGACAACATCACCAGGTTCGTGGCTTTACAGTGCAGATAGGGAGCTGGAAAGCCTTCCCAATCAGTCTCTTGTTGAAGCTACCAAGGTGCATTTTGGTGAAAGACCAAATCTCAAAAGTAAGTTATTGCTACTTCTACCAAATCACTAATTAATTATAATAAGATTAGAGAGTTATTGTGTTATTATTGTTAACTAAAATATATTCAAGAAGTGAATTGGTGTTGTTTTAATTTGCAGAAATACTGTTTGGTCTGAAAGGATCGGATGTGGGAGTTTTAGTTTGTGGCCCCAAGAAAATGAGATATGAAGTCGCCAAGATTTGTGCGTCTGGGTTAGCAGATAACTTGCATTTTGAGTCCATTAGCTTCAACTGGTGACGACAGGTTTAACAATAGATAAAAAGGTCTGAACTTTTTAGGTCTCATTGCATAATCTCCATCTTTTAAATGTGTATTATTATGTGAAATAAATAAGGTTGACGTGATGTAGACAAAAGAATTCTCTGTATTCGGTCCAAATGGAATATTTGGGATGCTTTATCATATCTCATGGGATGGGGCATAATCTACTATTAAACTAATTTAACAATAATATTACACTCACGACTTTTTTATTTTAACTTATATAATAAAAGATGATTGAGTGATTTTAAATTTTAAATAAACTTTCATCCGATCACTTTTTACCACATAAACTTGTGAGAGAAAATTTATATAAGAAGGTTATAGATATGATATTACTCATAATTAAAACTTTAGTAATAGTGTAAACGACTTTTTCCCACCTAAGGTTTGCCTTAACGACATTTTCCCAACCAAAAAAGTTTTAAAATACCACTTTCTCACCCAAAGTTAATATTCGTTATCATTCAAAGCCGATTCCAACGACGAAAATTCTCTCTTTAAAGTTAAGGTTTCTTATTCTTAACTAATTTTTGGTTGATTCCAACTACAAAACCCCTTTTATCTTGGCTCCTAGGAACTTGTAGAACGCTGACTGAGAAAGTGAAATATATTTTGGGTATTAACGGAATATAAACTTTGAGTGGAAAAATGATATTTTAAAATTTTTTTGGTGGGAAAGGGTCATTAAGGCAAACCTTGGGTGGGAAAAAAATGGTTTACTCTTTATAATAATTAATAACAATTAAAATTAATAATTTGGTTTATATCAAATCAATACCAGAATCAAGGTATAATGAATTTGACACATTACATTACAATAAACAAACTAATGCACCTGCTGCTATAGTGATATATCAATGTACGCACAAATTACAAATCAGTCAAAACCAGCTCTAATATCAGACCCAGTGTTTTTTCACACACGAACGTCAACTAGAATCTCTAATACAGATAAAATATGTACCAAATAATCAATTAAATTTGGTCCAAACCTGAGTATAACACTTGCAATGGAAGGAACGCTAAGGCCATGGAGTCCCGATTGACCTTATCAAAAAAAGAAACTATATACATATAAACAAATTACAATTCATTTTGGCACTTAATATTGCCTGCTTCAAATTAGAAGTAAACTTTGTTTTCAGCGATGTACATAATTTTATTGGTCCTGCACAGATTCACATGATGATTTGACACATAATTTGGCTTCCAAAAACCATTAAATTTATCCCCCAACTTCTTACTTAATGAACAACGATCTTCTGATTCAGTAACGTTCCATTCTTGCTATGTAACGCTTATATATACATATAACTTTAAGTAACAAAACCCCATATAGAAACTTGAATTTCCAGTGACAGCGAAGTAATGGAGGCCGTTCGATCAGCTATTAGATTGCTACTCATGGTGATCTTTCTTGGGTACATGATGATTTGGATCATGATGCCCACCAACACATTTTTCATGCACTGGTTTCCTGAAATCCATTCAAAAACAAATGCTACATATTTTGGGAAACAAGGTTTGTGTTTTAGTTTTTCATGTTTTAAACTGCTAGTTCGCAGTTTTCTTGCATTGTTTTGCTGAAGATTTTTGAAGTTCTCTGCATTGTTATTAATATTTATTAGGTGCATACATGCTGATTTACTCATTTCCCATCCTCTTCATTGCTACTTTGGGCTGTTTATATCTCCATCTTGGAAACAACAATGGCGAAAGGTACCCATCTCTATAAACGATCAGACTCTTCTCAATGGTGTATATATTTAGTTGACATAATGAATTAATGCATGCTTTTTTCTGAAGCGGCCGTGAGGTCAAGGACTCTCGTTTTGCATCATGGAAAAGACCAGTGCTAGTAAAAGGCCCGCTTGGGATTGTTTCATGGATAGAGCTTTCATTTTCAACCATGTTCATTGCACTACTGATTTGGTCTTTCGCTTCTTATTTACACAACATGTTTGCAAATATAAGCCAACAGGCAGCTGCACAAGGCCTGCAAGTGTAAGAGCTCTTATCATTCTGAACTTTTTGCCTATACGAATTTACCATATGATCTTAAACCAACATTGATTCTCTGGTTCACAAATTAGGTGGGAAGCTAAACTGGAGATGTCAGGTCTAATGCTAGGCCTTGTTGGGAACATATGCCTAGCCTTTCTATTCTTTCCAGTGAGTAGAGGGTCATCAGTTTTGCAGCTTTTTGGGCTCACCTCTGAAGGAAGCGTCAAGTATCATATTTGGCTAGGAAATATTGCTATGACCTTTTTTGCAATACATGGTTTTTGTTATATTATCTTCTGGGCCAAGACAGATCAAATCTCACAGGTAAAATAACAGAATTTATGACATTAATTACCTTGAATTAACAGATTTGCTAATTGCCTACATCTCTAATTGTGCTGCATATTGCAGATGTTGAAATGGGAGAAGATCTCTGTGTCAAATATGGCCGGAGAAATAGCTTTGCTCTCAGGAATAGGCATGTGGATTACAAGCCTTAAACGCATACGGCGAAAGATTTTTGAGCTCTTCTTGTATACTCATTATCTTTACATTCTCTTCCTTGTGTTTTATGTGTTCCATGTGGGATTCTCCTCTTCTTGCATCATACTTCCTGGCTTCTATCTCTTCTTGATTGACCGTTTCTTGAGATTCTTGCAATCTCAACAAAAGGTTCGTCTTGTTTCGGCGCGCATTTTACCCTGTGAAACTGTGGAGTTTAACTTCTCCAAGAGCCCAGGTGATGTTTAACTAATGACTTTCCATGTGATTATAAGCATACGATAAGAATTTCTCTGATGTTTCTATCCAATATAATTAATTAATGCAGGATTAAGCTATAATCCGACAAGCATTGTGTTTGTAAATGTGCCTTCAATTTCCAAGCTGCAATGGCACCCTTTCACAATCACTTCTAGTAGCAATATGGATCCCGAGAAGCTAAGTGTTGTGATCAAAAGTAACGGAAGTTGGTCTCACAAATTGTATCAAAAGCTTTCCCTCCCTTCACCAATGGACCGCCTTGAGGTCTCCATTGAAGGACCCTATGGACCTGCTTCAACCCATTTTACAAGGTGTTTACAATCTGTTATAATACCATAGCTGCTTCCCTGTTTTATCCTTTCAATATTTCCTTTGACACAGCTTTCAACAAAAGAGGGCTTGCAAAGCTTTTTACACTATATGGGTCAACTTTGGGTGATTTTGAAATTCGTCTGACAACTTTGCTTGAAAATTAACCATTCATCTAGTGAAAATTGAGGGATATTGTAATGTATGAATAATTATAATTAACATGGAGACAATATGCCACAGGTATGAGAAGCTAGTAATGGTGAGTGGAGGAAGTGGCATTACTCCTTTCATCTCCATCATCCGTCAGCTTCTCTCTGTGGCCAACACTTCAAGTGGAAGAACTCCGCAGGTTCTTCTTGTATGTGCCTTCAAGAAATCTGAGGATCTTACAATGCTAGATCTCATCCTCCCAGTTTCAGGCAGCACTCTAGACATTTCTCGCTTGCAGATACAAATTGAAGCCTATGTAACAAGGGAGAAAAGATCCACAACAAACAATGAGAAGTTGCTCCGCACCGTATGGTTGAAGCCTAATGCAGCAGACGCACCAGTTTCAGCTATTTTAGGTGCTAGGAGCTGGCTCTGGCTTGGCGCAATAATTTCTTCTTCCTTCATCATCTTTCTTATGCTCATCGGCATTCTCACGCGATATTACATTTACCCGATTGACCATAACTCTGACATGATATATGCCACCACCTGGAGATCTGCTTTAAACATGTTATTTGTTTGTGTCTCCATAGCCATGACTGCAACAGCTGCTTTCTTTTGGAACAAAAAAGGGCATGTGAAGGAAATGAAACAGATTCAAAACATGGAAACACCAACACCAGTATCTCCAGGCTCATGGCTTTACAATGCAGATAGAGAATTGGAAAGCCTTCCCCACCAGTCTTTTGTGCAGGCAACTAGAGTGCATTATGGTGAAAGACCTAACCTGAAAAGTAAGCAATTACCCTTTTTTTGAGACTAATAAAAAGGATAAAATCCATATCATATTTATTTATTTATGATTGAATCATGCACAGTTTTATCAGGATCGATTCCTCTGATGTTGTAAAAAGTCTAAAGATCCTCCTAATCTTCTGATTTGATTTAACTGTATTAAATATTTGGTAGCAGAGATACTAACGGAGAAGGAAGGGTCTAACATTGGAGTTCTTGTTAGCGGCCCCAGAAGGATGAGGCAACAAGTGGCGAAAATCTGTGCATCTGGTTTGGCAGACAACTTACATTTCGAGTCCGTGAGCTTTAGCTGGTGATTCAGGAAAAGCTACTTCAGTAATTAAATTAAACAAGATCTCACTAGCTAACCATGACCGAACTGAGTGTTTGGAAAGCATGTTTGATCAATCTACTGCAATTAAAGTGCCACGAATGTTAATCCTCTGATCAGGAGATTATACTTGTTTTTGTTTTGTGTACATTTTTGTATGGACAATTAACACCTGATTGTTTCATTTTTCAATGAAATAACATTACGAAATCATTCTTTACCAGTCATATTCATATATCTTAATGGCCTCGTATAGAGGTTACAACGGCCAGAGACGGCCATAAGAAAAATGACAATGAAAATAAGACGATAAACCCAAAAGAAAAAGGAAAAAATAACAATAATAACCTCTAGCTATCATAAAAGAAAATAAGAGCCTACTAAGGAGATCAGACGGGCCAAAAAGAAAGAAATCTATCTACTAACAGCAAATAAACCCAGAACATTTGAGGAGACATAAATATTCTGCTTCTAAGTCAAATGAATTGGAGCTGCAAACACTTTTCACTAATAATTCCTCACGTTAAATTACGAGTCATTACCCACAAAAGAGTCTTCCGCATTATTATACCTCAATCGCCGCATCACACCATCAGCATCATGACGCCTAACTCGAGGCATCATCTCATACCTGTTCCCCTGTTTTCTTCTATCATCTTCACCACCTTCATATTTATATTCTCTACCACTACCCATATCTGCCAATCTTCTAGGATGTACCATGGGTCTAATAGAACGCACTGAATCAAACCTTTGGCTCTGTCGGAAAATCCTCATAGGAGGTGACTTTCTATCCCTAAAATTATCTAACCCTGAAATCCGGTCATCAAACCTCGAATGACGTTGTGGTGAGAAGCGGTTTCTTGGAGGGGATACAAACCCTTCTTCATACTCTGCCACAAAACGTTTTTGAAAAGGCAACCTCACCCTATCCATTCTGGCAGATCTAAAATTTGGTGACCTACTGCGACGTCGTGATCCCTCATTTCGTTCCCTTAACAATAACCATGAACTGGGTGACCGACTTCTGGATCTTGATCGAGATTTCTTATAAGGTTGGGAATAATGCAGTCTTTCTCCACTTGGTGGTGAAATACTTCTCTCTCTCCTGCTCATACGATAAGGCATATGATCAGCATATTCAGAGGAATAATTAGGTATGGGCCTCCGAAATTCCTCCCTGATGCCTCTACTAACCCCTTGTGGATATTTTCTAAACCTACTCCTATCAGGATTGACATCATCTCTAACAAGAGCTGTTCCAGTATGGGTTCCATAAAAATCATCCCTGTAGGCCACATATCTCCGGTTAAAAGGCCAATAGCCACTATTTGACGAGGAGCTCAAATATTGCCTACGAACACGGCTGTCAAATCCTTCAACAGCTTCTGCATCTGAAATTGCACGGTCAGAGGTCGTTACAAATCCACGGCCCTCAATAACATTTCTTGGTCTAGGACGTGAGGAACCATAAGGGCCATGGTAAGTAGGTGACCGACGGCTACTGACAAAGTGGCCAGTGCCTGGACTTCTGCACTGCATATCCAGAGCATATCTATCCCTTCCCATAAATTTGTTTAAACCAGCTCCCCTTACTGATCGAGGGCATACATCATCAAAATCATCGGATCTGGAAAAAAGAAGTATGTAAGCAACTAACCAGGCAGTAAAGAAAAGGCACAATAGAAAAGAAGATACAGTGTAAGGTTCATAAGATTACCTTTTTCTTTGTACAGAATCAGGGGCATCAGTGGATAAAGATCCCTGAATGTGTGACGGCAAATCCCTCTTCAATGCCCTGGGTCCAACCACTCTAGAGGTAAATTCTTTACTATTGACCCTATCCTCACAATCAACAGTGTGATTCTTAATTTTGCTTCCATCAACGGTTTCCAAAGTTTTTGTCTTTGAGCTTGTTAAATGATCTCTGAAAGCATTTCCAGGGGAACATTGTTCAATTTTTTCAACTGCAACACTAGACCCAGCTCTTTTATTCTCAGCATCCTCCAGTTCCAGACTAAAGAATCTTTCTCCATCACAATCAGACCCATAGTCCAATTGTTCAATGTCTGCACCCTCACCTTCATTATCCTCCCAGCAATGCACATCTGATTCCCTCAATTCCCCATCCTCAAACTGAGAATCATAACCAGCTTCCTGGGGTTCCCCAGTTTTTTCTATGGCATCTATCTGAACCTTATCATCTTGATAAGAGTCTGACTCACAGGTTTCATCAAAAGGACCTTCAATATTGATCTTATCCGAGCTATCAGTAAAATTTCCAGAAGACATAAGCATCAGTTTCTCAGACCCAATATCCACAGAAGAATCGATCTCAACAATATTACCACGAAGAACTTCATTTGATTCTCCCGTTCCATCCCCAGTTTCTACAGGAATGGCTTCTTCAACAACTGCACTGGAAGTAGGTCCTTCGTCACATATGGATAAAGGATGGTCAATACCCACTTCCTCTGCTTCACATGCAGGCTCCATTCCAAGGGATAAAGGTACCATCACTTGACAATTGTCCATACTCAACATCTCGTGAGGAGCACAAGTCAACATCTCGTGAGGAGCACAAGTCAACATCTCTTGAGTACGACCAGAATCTTCAGCATTTTCAACTAGGGTTGAGCTGTCAACCTCACAAGTAACTCTCTCTAATGCAGGTCCAAAAGAAGAAGCAACAGCACACTTCTCAACTTCAACATTTTCTATACACACAATTTCTTCCTCTTGGACACCAGTAGCACAACCTTCTGTCTCCTCCTCGAGGCAATCAGGAAGTACTATGTTGCCCGCCGTATTACTCGGGAAGGCAACATTATTGAGGCATGCATCTGTGCTGACAACCTGAGTGTAAGCTTTTGCACCGTCACCACATTCATCATGGCAGCAGTCAAGGTCAGAGCAAGTTTCCAATTGATGGTCCATTCCGTTTGACCCATGAAGCAGGTCTCTTGGGTCTGAAGGAATGCACATTTCCCCATGAACTTCAGATGAATCTACCATGATCGCCTCATCATGTTTGATTTCTTTAGTTTCCTTCTCAATCTCACCACCTTCTAACCCGTGCAGCTTTCCACTCCCAACCACCGAAGTAACCATAGCAGGGTTTGCTTGAGAACCAACATTCTCAATATCACAAGGTTGCTCCCAAGCATCTATCACAACATTTAAATCCCAGTGTAACCTATCATCTCGCGAGGGAACAGACTTTTCAGCTCCTTTTTTATCCCCCTCATTAGGGGATTTCTGTGCAGACGAAGTGGTAAAATCCTGAAAAGAAGACACGTCCTTCTTATCTTCAAGTGCCAGATCTTTGTTGGAGAGATTAGTTGCTCCTATTGATGCAATTTTTTCCTCAACTGGCTTTGAATCATCTTCACACAACGACTCTTCGACCACTTTATTCTCCTTATCCTGGTCAACATCAAAGTTGTTATCACAAGCTGCAGCTGCAAGAATTTCAATACCAGAGAAGTCTTCTCTACAACCAAGTTTCCCATTCAATCCATCAGAAATCTCCCCTTTAACACCGGGACTACTAGCTTCTGTAGAAGCATCAATCACCCTATGTTGTCTCTTGCCGTTTGAATTTGGATAACATCCTCGACTTGAAGAATGGTGGGAACAAGGTGGTGGCGATGGAGACCGTAGATTAAATTTTCTTTTCTTGATAGGCACATGCTCTATTTTGTCACTGAATCGTCGTCCAAGAACAGCCACACCAAGCTGCCAAAGAGACAAAAACAAATTCATCAGGTAAAATGCAACTACATAAGTACAATGAAAAGCCAAATAACCAAAACACAATAATAACCTTCTCAGATTCTGAAACTGTTCCGTTCTCTGCCCTTTTAGGACTCTTATCAGCTAGCTCCACTCCTGCTGTAAAATTTCTAACAAAAGGTTTCCTAGTACGCCTTGTAGCACTTCTATTTCCTTTTGCTACTGTCTTCCAAGTCAAGTCAGGATTTAAAAAGTTTGTAAGTTCTAGGCCTACAGTGCTCATCATTTTTGCCGATACAGATCCTATCCCATCAACTAATTGTCTACCACGACAAGTCTTGCAGGAAGCCGTTGCTCCTTGCTTTCCAATTGACAACAGGGTTGATGAAACCCCAGTGCAGGTGCAAGACCGACTCTGCAAAAAGAAAACATTAAACTCTAATTAATATTGAGAGAAGAAATGTATTGACTCATGTTGAAATAAATTTCTTTCCTTCTATTAGAATTATAATCATTATGCAACTAATATAAAAACCATCAAGCAAATTCAATATGAACGGCATCCATATATGCGACCCAAAAAACAAAAACTTACTTTTAATTTAATTCCTCCAATCTTGACAGACTTTGAGAGGAATGATCCCTTCCTGGCGATTACAGCTGGGTCAAAACGTCTCCAACCTACTACACCTACAAAGCATAACATTCAGATCAGTAACAAAACAAGAACATAATACAAAAAAATATATATACATAAAAATATTTTAAAAAATATTAAAAAAAAAAAACAAAAAGCTAATCCACCTAATTGACAACATGTTATCAAGCCCAAAAGCTAATAACAAGTACTGCCAGCATATGCCTCCATAGGCCATTACCTTGAGGCAAGTCGTATTAACCAGTTTTGGCCTGTAAGTACTTCCTCAATTCAGATTGTAGCTTTTGACATAGTTCCAAAACAAGGAACCAGGGCTTCTTTGCAACCAAATAAATAACATGCTAATAGATAATCAAGATATATAAGTATGAGTTTAGCACCCGAAAGGGTTATTCAGTTGTTTCTAAACGACATTAATTTGTAGGAAAGGCGCGAAAACTAATCATTAATAAGCCACTTGTTGTCTAATCACCGCCTCCCATCGCCCAACAATTTTGAATCCATTGTTTCAGTTATTATACAAGGCAAATAAATAGAATCTACGTGAGCTTCCCACTTATGGTCCTTGCTATTATCCATCAAAAGCCACATAGCGTGAAGCATATAATCTTGCAAACATGCAGCTTGAGTTTCACAAGCTACCATATGAACGGGGCTCCGGAGGTAACATAATCTCGTCCATAACGAATATATCCATTCATGTAGTAAATAAAATATAACATATTCAAATTGTCTATAAATAAATCTAGAAGGTAAATCATCAACGCCATTAGCAGTCATATTAGCTCCGAGAAGCATAATAAAATCCCCCAGCAGCTCTATAACGAAGCACGTGCCAAGCAGCCACGATCAAACTCCGAGCAGATAGTTTTCCTAAATCTAGAAGAATCCGACAGTTGTCTTGCACAATATTCAGAAACCCTAACTTTTTCTTCTCTAATTGATAGAAATCTCGGGAGATTTAAGCCGATAGATCAAAGATCTCGTGACGATATTAAGTCTTCGGTCCTCTGTCGAAGAAAAACATCCACAAAGAAAGTGTAGAAATCAAAAAAGCTACGGTGTTTTAATACCTGTTTCTTACAGATGATTTGACGATAAACTTCCACAGATTTAAACAACTCGCATTAATCTTCAAATCTTCAACAAAGATTATTACGATCTTCCTCTTCTTCTTCTTCTTCTTCTTTGCTTTGGTCTAGTTATTATTAAAGGCACGGCACGGCACGGCAAGCCACGGCTTGAAATATTGAAGATTACAGAGAGACGAATGCTCGCTGATTAATGACCTTCCGATTGATCAGATTTTGATCGGTGTAGTTCGTTTCCTCTGATAATTTCTCCGCTGCGCCTCCAGAGCCAATCAACTAAAATCTTCTTCTCTTTTCTTCCTTGTCTGGATGAGACCTAGGAGCCCTATCACCACGTATTTATCATTGGCTTTGTACCCACAATGTCCTTGTTTATTTTGTTTTTCTGCCGATAATGCCATCCTTGTATACTTCTAATTTCTCCCTTGCCCTAACTCGTATTAAACAAAAAAAATAAATTTTATATTGCCTTCTCGAAGTCTTCATTTGGTTAAAGGAAAGTCAATAGTCAAATAGTGACCAATAGAAGGGCAATTTGGCACGGCAAGTTTCATGAGGTGTCACCACGTTACTGGTTGCTTCACTATTTCTAATACTGTATATTTTTTTTTATTTAATAACATTAAACATAAAACATTTTTTATAAAAGCTCTATTTTAGATCACAAATTCATCACATATACGTATACTAATAAAAGTTGTATTTATTATTATATTAATTGATTCATATTTATAATTACCATGATAAAGCGCTTAAATAAATTATTTTAATTTAAAACATTTTTTTTCTTCAAGAAAAATAGAATATATTAAAAATAATCTAGGATAATTCTTCTGACTTATTACTTTCCTAGTTTAAGTTTAATTTCTATTTGAATTAAAAGTAGGCAATATAAGAACAATTTTACTTTCGTCAAATTCGGTGTCCTTATGTAATCAAAATTTTGCTTGTTTACCTTAATTTAAATTCTATTAAGAATAATGACTTGTTACAGCTAAAAAAAATGGTTTTCCTTTTTAATTAGAATTTTAATTCCAAACATATTCAATTTTGATTTGTACACTTACATCCACACATCAAAGTAAATATGAACTTAAACACCGAGTGTTTGGCCTACGGTTAAGGAAGGTTACTCCCTTCATTGAGTCATGTTTTGAACCTTGAGCTTATCCAAAAAAAAAAAAAAAAATGTTTTGAACCTTGAGACCACATACCACTTTGTGACTTGTCTGACCTTTTGAACTTGTAAAGTGTTCAATAAATCACAAAAATCAGTTGAGTTACACACATGCTAGCCCGAACAATCTCGATTAAAAAAAAAAGTAATATGAACAAGAAGAGGCTTGTAGTGACCTTTTTTCTATAATAATTTGATGCCTTTCTACTTTATTTCTTGAAATTGTAATTATATTCCAAAAAAGAAGCTATGACTTTTCTTCCACGAAAAGAAGTGCATAAGACCCCACATTACCAAAAAAAAAAGTCGAAAGATTCCTTCCCCTCTTGCCAATAGCATCTCACCTCTCAAATCAACGGCTGATATATGAAGATGTGGTAGATTGGATCCCACCACTATCAATTGTCTTTGTCCCTTTACCCCTTCAAGATCCGACAAAGCCGTTGCGAATGTTGGAGCTCCTTAATTGGCTTTGCCATGGGCCCTTCTAAAAGTTCTGTCCCTTCTTTTGCAAGCCCAGCCCAGCCCAGCCTAGTGCTAGCCCAGTTCAATTACTTCCTTCCCAATGCTATAAAGCTCTTTTCTTATTCTTATTTCTCCTCATTCTCTCAATCTCTGTTTTTCTCCTCACTCGCTCAGTCTTCTACTTTCTTACTACCATTGAAACATACTGGACCGACTTCTAGTCTTCTACCCTTGAATTGTGGCATGGAAAATATTGATCCAAGAACGTTACCGACAATCAACAATTTTAATCCTCTATCAATAGGGCAAAAGTCCACATAATTAATATAATAAATTGTCAGTCATTAAATCAAATGTAAATTCAATACTAGTACATGTATCATAATCTTAACTATTTAAAGTGATTTGATTCAGCAAGTTACAAGATCATACCTCACTGCGAAATAAAAAATTTTAAAAATACTACTAAAATTGGGCAGCATTAATCTATAAAACATTCTTAGCTTAAGCCCAATCCAAAGATAATAGACCAAATCGATGAACCATGATCAAAAATTGTAGAAGCAATATGAATCTGAAAGCCAACAGACAGACCGGAAATGACCAATGAAAATTACTGATAAACTCAAGACTAAACTCTACTCAAATTTAAACAAGAAGAGATTTAAGAATGATTATAATATTTGAGATTTATAATTACTCGAAATTTATACGAGTTAACCAAAATTTTAAATCGGATCGAAGGTTCTTCGTTCTAGTGATCCAAATAGCAGCTGAAATCAGTCCCCAGTCAAGGAACAGCAACCAAAAAGAAATTGACATATTTTATAAGTCTAATTACTTCAAATGTCTCACTGTGTCCGCCTGTAATAACACCTCCTCCTAAGACGTATAAATCCATCCATCCTCTAAAGATGTCATGGGAATAAAAAATCACGATAACATCACCAAGCTTCAGCCATCCACAATGAACAGTTAAAAAATACAAAGTTTCACTTAATGGAATCAAGATTATATACTAAAAAGAGAAGAAGAAGAGACCTTAACAAATTTTACTGCATGTAACCGCTGCATCAAAAGCTATCATTCGGTGATTTACTCAATAAGATTTTGCAAAAATGGCAACTTCCTCAGCTGGATTGCCAGTCATCAAGCATGTCTTAATCCCCTGGGGCTGGTCAAAAGGGAAACACCTAATGGTTGCCCCTGTTTCTTCTTTCACTCTTAATTCATCCGCATCACTGTAACAATTATTGGAATGCACAAGTACATATAAGTAATATCAAATTGTTAATAATATTAACATAACCAAAGCCAAAATGATAGTAATATATTTTACCTAGCTGACCAAGGACCCCTTGCCCATTTGCCCAAGTTTATTGCTTCTTTAAGTTCATCATATGAGCTCACATCCACAATATTACTGCAAAAGAATAATAAAAGAAAACAAATGACAGAGTATAAGAAAGAAAGAGTACAGAACCCAAAGAAGCAGGCAATCAAATAGTCCATTATCATTTAACTTAGTTGACAAGTACAGACACTATATGGTGATTTCAAAATTTTTACTTGCATTTATCTTGGTGCACAGAATTTACGTTGCCATATATAATTATGCTATTTAGTTCCAATAGAAAACAAGTAGATTACAGCGATGAAGAGTAGAACTGAAACATTTTAAACTTGATCAAGCATATTGCCTTCAGCTTGAAGAAACTAATAAAATTAAAGAGCAAAAGAATGCACCTATCTCGAAATGATATTGCCTTCCCCAAAAGGGCTGACTGGATCTCATCCAACTTGTCTTTCACATAAGCTTCTAAAGTTGAAGGTTCCATAGATATTCCAAAAACTTTCCCTTGCTTTCCTGGAACATCTCTTCTTGATATGACCACACTACCACTGGAAACATCGCGTGGACCAATTTCAATCCTCAAGGGAACTCCCTATAGAAAAAAAGTCCATTATCATAACAGTTGAAAGTAAAGCAATATTTTCTACCACCATTATTCTTTTAAAACCGTAAGTATCAATGCTGTGGATAGCAACCATATTGTACAAAGCACAAAAATGAACCAGGTATAAGCACATTGAAGGTCTTTTTAACAAATTGAGCATCATGCAGAGGTTCTGACCTTCAAAAGCTACAAGTATCTACAAGTAGTTCAATACCCCATCTATAACGTATGATGGACTGCTAGTAGCTGACTTCCAATTATGGCAGAAATTAAAATTTGTTTATCAAAATAAAATCACCACGAAAGAGTTGTAATATATGCTTGACCTTTGAGAATGATAGAATACCTTCATTTCCCAGAAGTTAAACTTCCAACCAGGGGTTCGTTGTTCTAAGTCATCAAGTTTAACTTTAATCCCTGACTTCTGCAAAACTTCTTTTACCGACAATGCCGCACTGATAACTCCTGTTTTCTCTTCAGCCTTCTTCCAAATTGGTATGATTACCAACTGAAGCAAGAAACATACTACGTAAGGAAACAATTTTTATAACCATCATGAAAAGGAAGAAACAAACAGCAAACTTGTCTCTGTTTTTCTTTGGATCCAACATCCAAGATAGTGCCATGACTCATCACTATGAATTTTCAAAATCTGTAACATTATGAGGTATCTATGAAGTCACGGAAGCTAAACTTCAGTAGTTATGAAGAAATCTTAGTTGTTAATCATTGGGCATTGATGAAACTAAATGTTACCTCCATATTGGACAAAATTTGCCAAGAAAATATATATATATATAAATGTGCAGAACCATTTTTCTGTAATTTGACCACAAAAAATCAAGAATCTGGTGCAAACAATAAACAGATTCATCAATGGAAGTCGTTCTTGCTCCTGCAACAATCAATCTATGCCAGAAAACGATATGGGATTAGATTCATTCTAAAATTTTCCATATCTTTACCATCAGCAGTGAAGGATTTTCTTTTCAGATAAGAGGGGGGATGATGGCGGATTGAATGACAAGGCTCGTTCCATCAAAACATGGAACTCACAGCTCAAACATACAGATAGAGAGAATATGTGAGGTCAATATGATGAGCCTCATTTCCCAAAAACAATCTATAGTCTTAACAGATGCACATTCCTGGTGCAAAAACAGAACACCTGTACAAACACTTACAGTAAATCATAAAAAAGGCTACAATTTACCTGTATAGGTGCAACCTTTGGGGGAAGCATTAGCCCAGAATCATCTCCATGGGTCATGATGATACCACCGACAAAGCGGGTACTGATAGCCCATGATGTCTGCCACACATGTTGCCTTTGTCCATTTTCATCAGTGAACTGTACAAGCACATACTTCAGTCATATCTCGGCTGGTGGATATTAAGGTATTATAAAGCACAATAGTATTTAACCAATGAAAAATAAAATAAAACAATTTAAGTTGGATGTTCTTACAGTTGTCTGAAAATTAGAAGTGGTAGTATGATTTACCTGTGTTCCAAAAGCACGAGAGAAATTTTGCCCAAGGTTGTGGCTAGTTCCAGCCTGCAATGCCTTCCTATCCCCCATCATAGCCTCTATTGTGTAGGTCTTCGAAGCACCAGCAAAAGTTTCCACTTTTGATTTTCGACCAGGAATGACAGGTATTGCAGCTTGCTCATAAGCAAACTTTGTGTAGATGTCAATCATCTGCATGGCCTGCATAATAGATCAAATGAGACATAACTCTCACCACTATGAGTGGTCCAGAGGTAAATGAGCTGCAAACCTCTTTTTCTGCCTCTTCTGGAGTGGCATGAGCAGTGTGACCCTCCTGCCATAGAAATTCAAGGGTCCTCACAAATGGTTTAGTACGCATCTCCCAGCGTGTGACATTTGCCCACTGAAACAAATTGTCATGAGCAAACAAGATGCAGTCAGTATTTACCTTCTATAACAGGTGACAACAAACATATAACAGTATACTACCTGATTAATCATCAGAGGAAGATCACGGTAACTATGAATCCACTGAGTAAACATATGATTCACAATGGTTTCACTAGTCGGTCGAACCTGCCACAACCTCAGGAAGTGCAACAATCAAAGCCAAAACTCAGGTCATAGTTTCCAAGAGGACAATCATGGTTACATCAACATAGATAGAAAAAAAGACAACAGTATATGGTGGGGAATATATGTACCACAAGTTTTTCTTCTAGTTCCTTCCCCCCTCCAATGGTCACAAGCGCCAATTCTGGACTGAATCCTTCTACATGGCTTGCTTCTTTCTCTATGAAAGAGTATGGTATAAACTGCAATCACCAGTGAAATTGCAAAAATCAATCTCAGTTTACCACTCCATCCAGGAAAGGACAACCAGCAAAATGTCATGCTTCTTTAATTTAAAAATATAAAATGCAACATATCAGTTTATTGACCCCTTATAAAATAATAATAATAATAATAATTACTATTATTAATATTATTATTAAAATTTTAAAAAATAAAAAACAAGAAAACCAATCTAGTCTTCTACTAAAAACTATCTTTCATTAATTTGCAGATAAGATATTAAAACTATCTTTTAATAAGCATAAGAACATTCAATGGACCACACTCTGCTGGTTATGAACGTCACATCCATATGGAAGATAAAGGTGTAATGGGGTTTAGCAAGAAATATAGTTCAAGATCTCAAGCTTCTCTTCAAGATTTTTAGCACCATGTGCACCTTACAGTAAATATTTATCCAATCAGAAGATGCCGGGAGCACTTTACAATCAATTTATCACTTATCAGCCTATAATATTCATAATGAACAGTTTAACAGCCCCCTAGGCAAGTCAGGAATTTCAAGAGGCACCACAAGCATCATAATGCAGATTATAAAGTTTCAGAAGAGAAACATAAATAGTATTAGATTTTAGAGATATAGTGATTGAGAGAATCTTTTATATCATGATTTTCCACAAAGGCAGGAAATCTTAATCCTCCCTTTCACTAATTACATCAAACTTGTGATAATAAGACGTAATAATGTAACGCAAAACACAGCCATCATCCCTTTCATATAAAATCTTATAGAAATTGCAGACATACATCTAATTGCATCATACAATCAACAGATATTGCAAGTTTTTCACTTTAGGAAGGACCAGTATTAGAATGTTGCAAAGAAACTGATATAGGGCAAACATGCAGCAAGCGAGTGGAGGTTAATCGATCCAAACCTCTATAACAGGCTGGACTAACTTTACAAAGCAGACAAATTCAGCACTCACAACTTCAGCAATTCCAGGACAAATAAAATGAACATCCATACAGCATCATCCCCTTGCCTCCAATGGATTCAATTTCATGTTATACCAAAAAAAAAATGTCTTATTTCCTTAATCTGAACTTTAGTAAACTGTAAAAGGTTGAGATCTTTTGATTGAAAAAAGGACATAGACTCTCAACTGTCCATCTTTTAATCCAATGATTAAGACTTGAAGTTAATGAGTAATATTTAATGTTTTTCAACTAAGCAGCTCTCTAAACCCTTAAATTAATGCAGCTTAATGCTTTAGGACTTATGTCTCTTTTCACTTGAAGTTTTAAGTCAAAAGATCTTGACCTTTCGTGAGATACAAATATATAAACTTCAAATACACAGTGACTAAAAACACCCAATTCCCCGTGAATGTCATTTTAACAATCAACAAGCATAATTTGATAATTTATTTGAAATTTCTTCTGAACATTTCCTGTGTCAGTGCAGCAAACAATAAAGCATTAAAATCATAAAATCAAATTTTTTTTCACTCTTTCTCAGCAATCAAACAGAGAGGTCAGAATCACACCTGTGGAAAATACATGTTACTATGCCCAGTCTCCTTGAACTTGACATTCAAATATTCCTGCAAATTATTTATAATGAAATAAATAAATCAATAAATTGAAAAGTATGATGTAATTATTAATAGCATTTTCAAATTTGAAAATATAAGCTTTCAAAAAGCTCAAAGTGTGGTCCAAAAGCCATAAAACAAAAAATAATAACAACCTGAATTGCCTCCCAAATAGCATAACCGTAAGGTCTAATAACCATGGTTCCACGAACCGGACCGTAGTCAGCAAGCTCAGCGTTGGCAATAACATCGAGGTACCATGCATTGAAGTCCTGTGACCTAGGCGTGATGACACGGTCCTGGTTAACTCGCTCTTGACTCACTTTGTTCTTCTGCTTATCTACTCGGCCCTCGGTCTCCGGCGGACTCGAGGCAGCGCTCTGAGCAGAGAATCCAGCGGCACGCAAAGGCGGCAGGATGTGGTGGCGACGGCGCAGAATCGCAGGAGACTGGCGAGAGACGGAGGGAGATGAGAAGAGTGAAGTAAGAGAGGGTAGCCTCAGAGCTACTACCATTTCCTTGAGTCGTTTAGAGCAAAGTGCGCGACGCTCGTGCTGCGTTTTAGTACAGCAGTGGAAAAGCAAGGAGATGAGATTTTGGTGTGAGAAGTCTGCGTAGTGACGTGCATTGTAGATGATGGAGGGTCGGCTTCGTCCACCGATGGATCTACTTTCTGTTGGGCCTAATTTTGTTGCTTAGTTGGCTCATGGGCTTGGAATTTTCCCCCAGCACAGACAATAACAAGAGTAAGAAAAGGATAACGCCCTGGATAAGTTTGAAGACAGTCTGTTGAAACCTTAAATCAAAATGGGTTTAAAATAGTTGAGACCACAATTTTTTAAAATAGTTGAGACCACAATTTTTGTTGGGTTAGACTAATATCAACTTCAATACATTTTTCATCAGTTGTTAATAAGAGTTGTAATTAGAACTCTTAGTCAATTGATAGTTTCAGATCCTAAAAAATTAATTAAAATACGTACAAACTGACCCAAATAACCCTAATCATAAAAATAAAAAAAATAAAAAATTCATTACCTTTTACACCGTTGAATTATGAATTAATCAATGGTTATAGATTATTAATTAATCAAATTAAGTTATTATAGTCTGAACTATTTATGTTTTATTATTATTCATTGCAATTTCTTCACGGCATGATCACTTCAAAGTTAGCATTTCTGTCATGCTTAACACACAAACAGTTATTTATACTTTTGTTTCATAATCATATGACACTGTAGAGCACCTGAAAAATGCTATTGAACCCAGAAGACAAATCATTTGTAATCAAAAAGCTCCAGTATAACCGAGATAATTGTCATCAATGTGATAATTCCGGTTCTGATGGATCTACAAAGCGATCACCTTATTAAGTACCTTCTCATATATTGCTACGAAGTTGAGCTATAGTTACAAGCAAATAATTGTCATCACAAGAAAAACTTCAGTTCTTAACTAACGGAGAACTTGCTCGACTACAGGCAAATTGTAGCTGCATAATATTTGCCTACTAGCGTAGACAAGGATAACTACAAGTCCTAAAAACAAAGAAATTCCTACTTCAAACCAAACACAATATGCAGTACTGAAGTTAACCACAAATATGCACAGTACTGAAGTTAACCACAAATGTGCACAGTACTGAAGTTAACCTTACAAGAAAAGTTCAAACCCAAATTCTACCACAAAAGTTAAACGACCATAATTGCTGACATATTCTATGCACTAGGAAAGTCAATGCTTTGGCAATTATGGTGTCTTTATCAACATAAAGTTGACTTCTTCATCCCACTGCATACAGCGATTTGGTGATTTTGGAGAATCAAGATCACTGAAATGTTCACTTTTCTGAGGTAATTGAGCATCTCCGAGTCCATGTTCTCCAAGCTCTTCCAATTCTAACCACCTTGGAGGACTTGTAGGCTGAAACTGAAAGAAACTAACATCCATTAGATAATCCATAAATAAACAGCTTTACCGAAACAAGTAAACAACCAAAATAAAAACAGACCTTAAAATCATCCAATGCTGAAGATGCCACCCATGGAGACACTGACTGCTTAGAAAAACCTGAAACAAAAGAACCAATGAACAAAAACAACAATAGAGATTTAAGGATCTGTCAAGTACCACCACAGTAAATATTTAAATGTTTGTTAATTTTGTTTACCATTATGTAGTCCAACTGTTATCAGCAACTCATCTATGTCCATAGCTTTTGTCCGTGCCTTGAGGCATTCTTGATGGTTGTGTAGAAAATCTTCCTCTGCCAAAGCACTGAGATGTTCCTCCTCCAGAACACTCAGTTTCGCATTCAGATTAGAGGCCTCACGCAGATGAGGCTTCCCAAAATTCGAAATGTCAGAAAGTACTTTCCTGGTGCTGGTCTGTGATTTTTCAGAAGCTTTAGAACTCTTCTTTTTGCTTCCATCAAATGTAATTTTAGAGGCACCGATATCTTTCTCAATAAAAGAGTTGGAACTAGGCTTCTTTAAGGATTGATTGGGAGTAGGCTTCACCGAATTTGATAAATCACTAAGTGGCTTCCTTCCGCCAAGCCCTCCTTTCTTTAGGGCTTTAGAAACATTGGTCTTCCCCCCAGCAGATGCTGTTGTAGAAGATTATTTAAGTACAATAAGGGCATCAAAATAAATGAACAACCACATCTCCAATCAAACAGAAAACAAAGATGACTTACCATTATAGTGAACATTCAGATTCCTATCATGAATCAGGCTACCAACTTGTGACGCCATCAACTAAGTTTGTGAAACAATTCAGAGCAGTACACTGCAGAGAAAGAAACATATGTATCATATCAGACAAGAACTTTAGAAGAAAAAAAAAAATTGAATAAATTTCCTCGGTGTTGTGGTTTACATTTTTAATACAAATGAAAAAAGAACCTAAGAAACAAGAAATGGAACTCCCAAGCAAATCAACAAAGTAAGGTGCATCTTCAAACACCAATCTGAATGTTTTGTTGTAAAAGAACCCAATTTGAAATCAAACAACAATAAAATAACGAGATAATCCTGATGCTATGGATCTCTCCTTCAACAATGGTTTAAACATAAAACACCCATATAAACTCTTACCCACGGAACACCCAAACTTTTTAATAATTCTCAATACATTGATTTATTTTCTCACTCCTAAAAGTGTTCGGGTACTATGTTTATCTCTATAATGCAACATTTGGTTCAACAAAAACAACATCAAAATCAAACAAGATGATCTCAAACAGTCCAGCAAGCAAACTCTATGTTTCATCATATTCGTTTCTTGAAGTCTCAACAAAAAGCAAAAGAGGCCTGCAATTCGAATGCCATGCTAGTTATGCTGAGAAATCCCCGCATCATCGGTTTCAAATTACCAGAAAAAGCCTGGGTCTTCGGTTCAATTCAAGCAAAAACACCCAGCCACAAAAAATACCTTTCTGAAAAATTAATGGTTTATGCTACTACTACCTTTCCTGTTACCACTAAAAGCTGAGATATTAGAAAGAAAGCAACAAAACTAAAACCTCAGGTAACTCTAATTTCTGAAAGATTAGAAATAGTCTTGATTAAAAAAAAAAAAACAGCAATAATTAACCTTTTTCTTAATTCCATCAAGAAATTCAAGATTCAAGATTAAAAACCTTTCTAAAAAATCCTCAAAAACCCAAACCAATAAGTTCATCTCAAAATATATTTTACGGCCCTTTAATTCCTAAAATTTACGAACTTCTTCTAAAGTTTCCCCTTATTCCCAGTTTGTTTGCCTAGAAAACAAAGAGAAGAAAACTGAACTTCGAAACCACAAATTAGAGTTTGTTTCTTTGGGCTTAGTTGATGTAAAATGATGGTTATCTTAAAACCCTAAACAACAAAAATCTTCAAATCTAGGGTTTATTTCTAAAATTTTCTCGGTAAACAAACAGATTAGTCATCAGTGGATAGAAAAAAACCACTCTCTAAAGCAATTTCGCACCACATGATAACATCTCTCAAACGAAACGTTAGAAGAAATAAGAAATTTCAGAGGTTTGAGAGAAATAACTCACAAATGGGTGACAAGGATCAATCTTCCTTTCTTGATTCGCTTCTTAATTTTCTCGGCCTTTCCAGACAGTTTTCTCTCTTTTGATCAACAAATCAAATCACTCTCAACAAAACTTGCAGTTGTTATTTGAAATGGGTCTCGAAGAATGTTTGGCTCGTATATGTAGACAGCACTGGGGTTCCAACGGTAACTTTCTCTTTCTTTTACGTTAATGCCCTTCTCTGGACAGACAATTACGACATATTATTTTCATTTTAAGCCGTACGATGACTTGCATTGATCATTTGATGAGAGGGGTAATGATGCATTGTGTAAAATTAACGGTAAAGTGCCTAAATTGCAAAGTTGGAAAATCCAAGATCACCATTTAAACTATATCATAATTTTTTAGTTATTTATTTAAGATTTAATGCAAATATTAAAAGTCATATCTATTTTGGATTATGTTAAATTAATTATTAGAAAAATTTAATAATGTTATATATGTAAGATTATACCCAAATTTCATATCTCAAGTGATTTTACATTAAAGTATTTTTTTTGTTATTTAATAAAGAGTAAACAACTTTTTCCCACCCAAATAATGTTTAACAACACTTTTCCAGCCACAAACTTTTAAAATACCACTTTATTACCCAAATTTATATTCTATTTACTACCCAAAATACACTTTCCAATTTGGCGACGAATGGAGGGAAAATTTGGTCCAAGATATTGGGGCTTTTGACAAAGGGAGGTTAGTGAGTCTTTTGGTGGTGGCAGGTTGGATTTTGGTAATCGTAATTGGTTAGAATTTAACTTGGGAGAGACGGTTGCGCAAATCCTAATTGCACGATTGTTGGCAATTAGCGAGGTCAGTGAGAGAAATGTTTGAGGGGTTTTGGTGAGTGATGATCGGGGAAGAGAATGGTAGGGGTTTGGGATCGCAATGATGTCGGAATCGATCGACAAGAGTGCACTCACCAGCCAATTCCGACATTGTTGCTACTAGCATTGTAGGGAGGTTACGTAGGACCCATATGGTGGGGCTCTATTGCGATTTCCCCGTTTTGCTACTTTGTCCCTTCAATCAAAGAAATTTATATAAACTTGTAATGTGTGACACTGTACGATTTTTCAAAGGTTTTGCTACGTTGTAATGTCCCCTTCAATCAGAAAATATGGCAATTTTTTTCATTTTTCAAAGGTTTATCACCAACAGCCAGAAAATCTAGCCTTCAACGATGGCCATATCTTGGTCGTCGTCAATGGCCACATCTTTTGCAGTAGATTTGGTCGGAAAAGGTTAGATAGATGCACGACTAGCTGAATCCAACCGCTAATATGCCATTTTGGCAACTTCCGACCACCGTCCGGTGGTGGTGGCTGGCTGTTAGTAATAGTTGGATAGGTGGGGGTGTTTTTGTTAATTTATAAACTTTTATTATGGAGAGTGTTTAGTTAAATTAACAAATATAGGGGTTAAAAATAATCTAAATATTTTCAGAAAATATTTTCCAAAAATGTATCAAACGTATTCTCAGAATCTCATCCTATCTGATTAAATCTTATTCATAATAAAATAATATTCTAAAAACTTAAACAAACACAGCCTAGGTATTTCAAAAAAAAAAAATATCTATTATAAAAACATATTTATTTTAAATAAAAAAAGTTTAAAATTAAGAGAATATGAAAATCGACCCAAAGTTGCAAACTAGTTGTCACCAATGAACCGCTGATAACGAGTAGAACAACACTACCGACACCATTCTTACTAATTGTTGTCACCGATAAAACCACCAACAATGAGTGAGACAACACCACTAGCACCATTGAGATTGTCCACTGAATATCTATTATAGAATATAGGCTCAATTACATCAGAAGATATTGAACTATCACTTTTTTTCCTATTAAAAGTACCGAACTATTTTTTTCCCTATTGAAGGTACCAAACTATCTATTATTTCTATTGAAGGTACTGAACTTTAAATTTTTCTTATTGAAGGTACCTGATGCATTGATTTTACAACATGCAATGTGTAACAAGTGCACTAGTTACAACAAGTAATAGAATGATGAGTAGAGTATCGTTCCCACAAAGATTGCGTATCAAGTACTAATTTTCCTAATTTGTATCAAGTTGGAGCAAACGAAAAATGGTTGGATTTGCGGGAGACAATTAACTTGAAATTAAAACAAAACTCACAACATAGTTTAAAATCTAACTAATGAAAGCAATATCAATTCAAGAAAAATATCAATTAAGACAAAGCGGTTAGGGTTTTGACTTCACTAGGATTTTATGAATTAATCTACGATTTCTGTTACTTTTACATTCACATGCAAGGATTATAAATCGGACACCCTAACATGTAAAACATACCTTCTCAGGCTATGTTTTCCTACTTATCCCTATTAAGGTTCCGCACCTAACAAAATGAAGGTTAATAGTTCCAAGTCCGTTAAGCTAAATGGAATCCTAAATGGATTTCATGGATTCTCAAACATATCTCTAGCGTTCAATCAATCAATGGCATTTACCCTAAGAGACTAATACATGATTCACTTCTCAGTCTTATCATGCTCAACAAGTAATTTCAATAAGAACAAGAGTAAATACACAATCAATGCAATAGAATGTAAAAGCAACATCAATTTATTGATTAGACATTAAAATCCCACCTACATCAAAACCCTAACCCAAAAGTGAGTTAGTTCATACTAAAATTAAAGCAAATCAAAATAAAATTTGTAAACACAGAGTTCAACATGATGGAATAACGAAAAGAGAGTGAATCTTCCATATTTGATGAACCCAAAAGCTTCTAATCTTCAATTTCTCTCTTTCTTTTTCCAAACAGTGTCGACTCCTCATAAAATAACTAAGTCCCACTTATATAGTCGATCCCAAAACCAAGACTCATCCCATACAATTAAAACGCACAGTTCTAATAAACTTGAAAATTGCAGACTTCGTCGCGGCATCGAGTTGGCTTTTATTGAACAATCTAACCCAAGACTTTCTCCCGCGCAACGAAGAATAAACTTCGCCATGGCGAACTTTTATGAACTATTCTGAATTTACGAAACTACCTTCCGCTTGCTTCTTTCCTTGAATCTTCAATCTTTGTGATCTCCAATAGGAACAAGCTTCATAGTGCTTCGAATCCGCATCAAAACTTTCCCGATTCCTAGAATTCGCTTGATTCTGGGTCCAGAAACTCAATCTCGCTCAGTGTTTGCTCTAATTGCGCATTTTGGCCTAAAATATAAAATATATGAAATTAAGTTGCAATTCAGGCACAAACAGAAGAAGAAGTATCCAAAATCCAGCTAAAAAGCATAAATAAAACAGTATAATCCTAGGATTATCAGTACCAAACTTTATATTTTTTCCTACGACATTAAATATTGATGACATGACATTTTTTCTGTCAAAAATCGCTGACATGGCAATTTTAGTGTGTTGTTTGGACATTTTAACGTGACAATTGAGGTTGACTCAGACATTTATAATTTAAAAAATCTCAAATTAACCCTTTTTTTATTATTTAAATAAAAACCATAAAAACCACCCAGAATAAATAAAATCTACCCAGAGTGAAAACTTATCCTAATTAAAACCCACCTAAATTGCATTTGAGGTATCAAATAACTTTTCATAGAAATAATGAATAACTCAACACAAAAGGATGAGCATGAGCTATCAACGTTTCTCGATTCTAGTATTTACCTATTCTAAAACTCAAATGCGGTTTTCATAGACAGTAGTTTTTATCAGCCCTAAAAAAGTCCACATCAGTGTTACATGTACACGTCAACCCTCATAAATTTCCACATACACATTTTAGAATTAAAAAAAATTCACATCATTTATTTTTAACGGTGCAAGAGGTTAGTCTCTAAAATGTTTGATGGTATACAAGTTCAGTAGCTTCAAAAGAAATAATGAATAGTTTGATACCTTCAACAGGAAAAAAAAATAGTTTGATACCTTCAATAAGAAAAAAGTGATAATTCGGTAACTTATGATATAATTAAACCTAGAATATAATATCTCATAATTTACTTTAAATATAATCATTTTTTTATATATGGTTACCAAATAATTATACATCCACAATATAAGAAATAATAATCATATATATCAATATATAAACATACCATAAAATATATTTTTTAGAACTTTTGGTAATCCGGCTCAATTCAAGTAATGGGTTATTCCCATCCCACCAGCCCATTGATTAATTTTGAAGTTGATTATAAAATAATTTGAAAATCTTGTCTAGGTAGCTTCTAAAAATCAAAGGATATAGTTTGTCTTTTAGGATTTACTTAGAATATAAACAACAAATTGAAATTATTTGAAGAATACTTCTCTTTTTGGAAGAATGTGAATCTCAAATTAAATCTTATATACCAGCCCGCTTTCTCTCTCGATAGTATCAGTCCAGTAACACACATAGTCTTAAAAAAATTAAAAAAATATGAAGTGTGACAAAACATTTGGTCCATCAGGTTCAGGACCTGGGTCAAGCTCCTTGTAGGAGAGAACGGATCGAATATATTTTTTTCCCCATTGCCACTAAAAAATATATTTTTTTTCTTCAAATATCACTTCCCCTAAATTGACTACCTCAGTCAAATTCATTTTCTCTACAATACAAACACTACAATTTTTCCCCATTCCTTTCAATTTTTACCTCTAATCTCACAGTCAATTTCTCAAAAATTTCTCAGCCGATCTCATGCCAATTTCATTACATGCCGCGACGCCTCACCAAACGCCGACAAACCAACCCGAATCGTCTTTTCCATACCTCGCCAAACGTCGCGACGCCTCACCAGATGCCGCGATGCCTCACCAGACGCCAACAAACCAAAGACTAACCATCATTTCCACGCCTCGCCAGAAGTTGTCACGTCTCACCAAACCAACCGAAATCGTCATTTCCACACCTCGCCTTGCCAAATGCCATGACGCCTCGCCAGACGCCGAAAAACTACAAACAAAACTCTCGTCGTTTCCACACCTCGCCAGAAGCCGCCACGCATCGCCAGTTGAGAATCGAAGGCACAAGTAAGACTCTATTATCTTTTTCAGTTTGATTTTTAGTATCAATTAGTTGTTAGGGTTTTTTAATTCTACTTATTTTTTAAACAAATTGATTCATCGAAGAAAGGCATGTTTATTTGGAAGATTCACACCGGTTTTCTAAATAATGATTCTTGTTCTTTGCTTGTTGATTAGGATTCCAGAAGCTGCCCATTTCAAAGCCCTTGGCTCTACCGTTGAGGAAGCATTTATGGATTTGGTATTGTTGGTTGAACACTTGTGGTTGGTGTTGTATGTGATTAACCGTGGAATTCTTTTTCCTTGTTTCTGGATTTTTGTAGTCCTAAATATTTAACAGGATTGTAGGAGAGCTTTAGAATGGTTTATAAATCCTAGATAGAAGCTGGGTTCAGTTCATAGTTGCGTTTAATTCTGTTCGACTGGTTTGGTTCTTGTATGTTGGCATTTTAGTTAATACTGCTGAACTTTGGGAGTATGTATTTTGTGCCAAATATTTGCCTTTTCTGTTCTGTTTTTAACTTCTGGTGCACTAACTTGATATATCTTCCCAGGTCAATAATAAAAGATTCAAACATATATAATTTTGGTAACTATTTTGGCAGGTAGTCGTGCCCTCTCAATGGAATTATTTGCTTGTCTTTTGGAAACTATTTTAGGCAGGTAATTGTGTTGTTGCAGAATTTGCATGATTGCAGGTTTTGAAGGTTCCGAGAGATTGCTACATTTCGGGTAGTTTGTGCAGGTTTGTTAGTTTTATGCTTTTTGCATTGTGTGCAATTTCTAAAAGGTTGTTGCAGTTTGTATAGGTTGTCCAGTGTGTATTTGCTAACGAGAGTTTTCTGCAGTTTGTGCAACTTTTGGTTGTTGGTTACAGAATGTGTAGCAAGTAATGCAGTATTTTGCAGGATTATGATGCAATTGTGTTGTTGCCGAGGGAGTGCTTTAACTTGGTCAAAGATGCATCAATTTTTGTAGTTTTTGTTTGCTCTGCCTGAGAGATTTTGTACTGGTGTAGCTTGTGCGTGTGTGCAGTTTTTGAAGCTGCTGCAATTGTTCTCTGCCTTTGGTGTTGTATGCAGTCTTCGGGTGTCTGTTACAACTTGTGTAGTCCATGCTGTTTGTGCTTTTTTTGTTTTCAGGATTTCCTCCCAACTTGTACAGTGTGGATTGCTGGTTTTGAAGCTTGTGCAACTTTTCTGGTTTGGTTTGCTGATCCTTTTTGTAAAGGCCTTTAAGGGTTGACGTTTGGGTGCCCTTGGTTGCTTCGGTCTCTATTGTCTTTCCTTGGTTGTCCTTGCTTTTGTAGTTTTGTCCCTTGGGAATGCCCAAGGTTCTTGGTTTTAATGGGGAATCCCCTTTCTTAGGTTGCAATTCTTTTATTCTTTTATAAAATTATTGGGTTTACCCAAAAAAAAAAAAAAAAAAAAAGTAACTTGTCATGAATATAATTATGTGTATATACATATATTGTCTTGGCTGAGTAGAGATCAAAAACAAAGTTAATTGTTATCATAGAGGTTGATTTCTAGATCCTAAAAAAACCTTCACAATTTGGTAAAGTAATACAAACATTGAAGTAAAATATGAAGCAGGATGACTGTATTGCCCTGGTAATTTTGTTGCTTCTTTCAAATATGGATTATTATCCATAATCATAGAAGAGATTGATAGAGATTTTAATTAGGCACAATTTTAATTAAACATTGAATTACCAACAATTCATCAAACCCAACTAGCTATAAATAAATATTTTAGGTTAATCTAGTCTCAATATTTAACTAAAAAGATAATATATTTATTAGTATTTACAGATCACAAAAAGACAGCAAGTAATTCTACTAAACATGGTTCAATCATCTTTACAAAGAGTATGAACAGAATTCTATAATGTACAACCAGCCAAACACTCCTGGACACTGCAAAAATAATAGGCCTAGTCATCGCGTCCAGCCCCAAAAACACTACACTAATAGCCAACAAAATGCAACATTAAGGCTGCAACTCCAAAACACACTGCACAAACAGCCAAGCTTCTTAACAAAACATAGCACAGCTCCAAACATACTTTTATGAATTGCAAAAATGCAGTTTTCTGCTGCTGCATCTCCCAACAAAGCTCTCCAAAATCCTTTGTTTAGTCATGCACCAACGCCATCCATTGCACAACAACAACCAACATACCCAAACAGCCAAAAACTATAGATCTAGCACTAAAACACCTCAAGAGCAGATCCAAGCTGTAGATCCAACACACAAAAAATTGCACTTACTGAGAAAATGTCCTAGAGACTGCAAAAACCTAAAACTCCAAAAATCTATAAATTCCCAATACTACAAAGAACAAAAACAAAGCTGCAGCACCAAAAAATCCTGCACCAACCTAATAGTCTCCCATGAAATTAATGCTGAATGTTGGAGACCTGCCACAAAAAAAAAATACAACTAATAAATATCTTAATACAATATTAGAAAGTTAATTCTAATGCTCTAGAATCAAGACATGCATCATTTATCAATGCACCATCCATAAGCAACTCATTCACATCACTAGCATATAACTTAGACTTCACATAACCTTCCTCTATCAAAATGCAGACAACAATCTTAACCTACCACATTAAGGGAGCAAAAATATGGCAAGCAGCAATGAAACCACAAACAAGCAGTTAAATACATACACAATCATTTTGATACATGATTTTTATATTAGAAATGAGTTTCAGGCAACAAATAGGGGTTAAAATATAAGAAAACTAAAAAACCGTAAGCACCTGGAGCTGCTGCCTTTCAGCTGATGAACATGAGCATCCAACTTCCTGAAACTCAAGTTCTTTTGATCCCTATCCAAGATACAACAAGAACTCAACCATGTTAGTAGACTGAGAAATTTCCAAAACAGAAGCGAAAGCTAAAAAGAAAGTAAAATAGAGAACCAATAAGGAAGTTGAAAGATGTATACTTGAACATGAACAATGCATAAAATAATGCTAGCAATACGCAACCCAGAGGTCAATATTTTGAGAAAAAAATCTCAACCACAAGGCACAAGGGCTTGTTCTTTTGACTCATACTTCAAAAAAGCACAACCTGCAATAAAGAGAAACAAATAGACAAATAAACTATTTTGCAATGAAATAGTCCAGCAATTGTCAAACCACAAAATAAACAACACATGTTAACAAGTACAGCATTTTATCATGACTCTCGAGCTCTTATATTGTTCCTAGATGTTGTTCTAAAGCTACATAAATAATACCGTGACGCAAAAGATGGTTCAATCTTATGGGTTTGTAATTTGGGAGAGATTTTTGATAAATTTAGCAAATGAAATGACGAGTGTTGATGGAAGACGGTGGTCGGCGCTGCTGGTGGAAGACGACAGCCAACGTTGGTGGTGGAAGACAGTGGCCGGCGTTGGTGGTGGTAGAGGACAAACGGCTAGTGGTTTATGGTTTCTAATTTGAGAAAGATTTTTGGTACATTTAAGCGAATGAAAAATGACTAGTGCTGGTGGAAGACGGTGGTCGACGCTATTGGTGGACGATGGCGACTGGTGCTGACGGTGGAAGACGGCGGCCAGCGCTGCTAGTGGTAGAGGACAATTAGATGCTGGTTTATGGTTTCTAATTTCAGAGCCATTTTTTTTACATTTGAGCGAATGAAAAATGACTAGTGCTGGTGGAAGACGATGGTCAGCGCTGCTGGTGGACAATGGAGGCCGGTGTTGGTGGTGGAAGACGGCGGGCAACGATGGTGGTGGTAGAGGATATGCAGCTGGTGGTTTATGATTACTATTTTGAGAGATTTTTTATACATTTGGGGGAGGCAATTAAAATTTTGAAATTTTTTTTTTTTTTTAGCTTTTGGGGAAACTTACGTGGCAAATAAGTGAGGTGACATCTGTCATGTCAGTTGCCACGTCAGTTAGTACAGGGGTTAGTAAGATTTTGTTAGTGCATATAGCATTACTCGCTTAGAAAACACGAAACAACGGTGTTTACGGAATTGCAGCTATAGACGAAATGGTTTAACCCTATTCCCTGGAATGAACAACATCCTCCTGCACCCAAACAGAAACCCAAGTTTGTCTATTTTTCTTCTTATACCATAAGTTTTTGAACTATTACAAATTCTTTATGAATTGCTCATGTGTTCAACCTCTTACTATTATGCAGATTGATATTGCCCGAGTTTTGCGGGGAATTCTAATCGAATTGGGAGATTCAAGTCTCTAGAGCTGCATTATACAAAAGTTCACTTAAAGCATATAAAGGAGCTATGGGAAGATTTTGAATCAAGACAACGTGCCAGTAGACTTGCTAATGAGAAGAATGAGCTTGAAAGACTATCAAGTAATAATGAGTTTCAATCAAGTTCGCCTTCGGTATCCTTTTTCAGTTGGCTGCTAAGTTTCAATATACAGAAGATTATTTAAGTACAATAAGGGCATCGAAAATAAATGAACAATCACATCTCAAATCAAACAGAAAACACAGGTGACTTACCAGTATAGTGAACATTCAAATTCTCATCATAAATCAGGCTACCAACTTGTGACGCCATTGACTATGTTTGTGAAACAATTCAGAGAGGTACACTGCAGAGAAAGAAACACATGTATCATATCAGACAAGAACTTTAGAAGAAAAAAAATTGAATAAATTTACTCAGTGTTGTGGTTTACATTTTTAATACAAATGTAAAAAGAACCAAAGAAAGAAGAAATGGAATTGTCAAGCAAATCAACAAAGGTACATCTTCAAACACCAATCTGCAATGGTTTGTTGTAAAGGAACCCATTTTGAAATCAAACAACAATAAAATAACGGGATATTCCTGATGCTATGTCTCCTTAGAAAATGGTTTAAACACCCACATAAACTCTTACTCACGGAACGCCCAAACTTTTTCTGAAAGATTAGAAATAGCCTTCATGTAGAAAGAAACAGCAATAATTAACCCTTTTCTTAATTTCATCACCAAATTCAAGATTCAAGATCAAAAACCTTCATAAAAAGTTCTCAAAACCTCAAACCAATAATTTCATTTCAAAATATATTTTATGCCCTTTTAATTCCAAAAATTTACGAAGTTCTTCTAAAGCTTCCCCTTATTCCCAATTTGTTAGCCTAGAAAACAAAGGAAGAGAAGAAAACTGAACTTCGAAACCACAAATTAGAGTTTGTTTCCTTGGGCTTAGTCGATGTAAAATGATGGTTATCTTAAAACCCTAAACAACAGAAATCTTCAAATCTATGGTTAATTTCTCAAATTTTCTCGGAAAACAAACAGATTAGTCATCAATGGAAAACAAAAACGATTCTCTAAAGCAATTTCACACCACATGATAACATCTGTCAAACGAAAGGTTAGAAGAAATCAGAAATTTCAGAGGTTTGAGAGAAATAACTCACAAACGGGAGACAGGGTACAATCTATCTTTCTTGCTTCTTTGCTTCGCTTCTTGATTTTCTCGGCCTTTCCAGACAGTTCTCTCCCGTTTGATTCTCAACAAAACTAGCAGTTTGCAAGTTGTTTTTTCAAATGGGGTCTGGGAAGAATGTTTGGCTCGCATATGTAGACAATAGTGGGGTTCCAACGGTATCTTTCTCTTTCTTTTACGTTAATGCCCTTCTCCGGACATACAATTTGCAATTAGGAGAATATTATTTTCATTTTAACCGTTCGATGACTTGCGTTGATCATTTGATGAGTGGGGTATGATGCATTGTGTAAATTAACCGTAAAGTGTCTAAATTGTAAACTAACAAGATTTAATGCATACATTAAAACTCATATCCATTTTGGATTATGTAAAATTAATAAAGTTATATTGTAAGATTATACCCAAATTTCAAATCTCAAGTGATTTTGTCATTTAATAATTCATCTTAAATTATCGTCATGTGTCCAACTAGGATTTTACAATTTACACTATAGTCAAGGCCCGTTAATTGCATGTTCCCAAATCAATAAAAGCCCCAATCAGGGAAAAACCTACTAACCAAAATTTGAAAATTCTAATTAATAATATAAAATTAAAACAAAAGCCTTTTGTATAGACCATAGAAAATAAATAAACGGCATCAAAAAGTGCTTTCAAGTACATTATATTAATAATTTTTTTACAAGAAAAAAAATCTACCTAATTTAATCAAATATTACAAGATATAGACAACAAAAATATTATAACCTATCCTGAGGGCAATTTTTACTTCACAAGAAAATGAGACACCTACCAGATTAGAAAATTACAAATGTATCCTTATGTCATAAGCTGTTTATTTGATGTGTCACCTTGTGACTAAATGGTGGATTAATTAAGGATAAAACATCACACGTATTATATGTATTTATATCTCTCATTAATTGAAAATTTGGCAAGAATAAATGGATGATTATTTTTTTTCTAACACATTTTAATTATGTTAAATATGATAATATTAAATTAGAAAGAAAAAAGGAAAGAGAGAGGGTGAGTGAAGTTAAAGCCAAGCATATGCGACGGTGAGAGTTCGACCCATCCAACCAAAACAGACCCCTCCGTTTTCTTCTTTAACGGTGAATCCTAGGTTGACTCGGCTCCTGTGTAGAGCATCTGCAAAACGTTATTGAACCCAGAAGACAAATCATTTGTAATCAAAAGGCGCCAGTATAACCAAGATAATTGTCATCAATGTGATAATTCCTCTTCTGATGGATCTATAAAGCGATCACCTTAGTAAGCACCTTCTCATATATTGCTACGAAGTTACAAGCAAATAATTGTCATCACAAGAGAAACTTCAGTTCTTAACTATCGGAGAACTTGCTCGACTACAAGCATATTGTAGCTGCATAATATTTGCCTTACAAGACAAGTTCAAACCCTAATTCTACCACAAAAGTTAAACGAACATAATTGCTGACATATTCTATGCACTAGGAAAGTCAATGCTTTGGCAATTATGGTGTCTTTATCAACATAAAGTTGACTTTTTCATCCCACTGCATACAGCGATTTGGTGATTTTGGAGAACCAAGATCACTGAAATGCTCACTTTTCTGAGGTGATTGAGCACCTCCTAGTCCATGTTCTCCAAGCTCTTCCAATTCTAACCACCTTAGAGGACTTGCAGGCTGAAACTGAAAGAAACTATCATCCATTAGATAATCCATAAATAAGTAGCTAAACCGAAACAAGTAAACAACCAAAATAAAAACAGACCTTAAAATCATCCAATGCTGAAGATGCCACCCATGGGGACACTGACTGCTTAGAAAAACCTGAAACAAAAGAACCAATGAACAAAAACAACAATAGAGATTTATGGATTTGTCAAGTACCAGCACAGTAAATATTTAAATGTTTGATAATTTTGTTTACCATTATGTAGTCCAACTGTTATCAGCAACTCATCTATGTCCATAGCTTTTGTCCGTGCTTTGGGGCATTCTTGATGGTTGTGTAGAAAATCTTCCTCTGCCAAAGCACTGAAATGTTCCTCCTCCAGCACACTCAGTTTCGCATTCAGATTGGAGGACTCACGCAGATGGGGCTTCCCCGAATTCGAAATGTCAGAAAGTGCTTTCCTGGTGCTGGTCTGTGGTTTCTCAGAAGCTTTAGAACTCTTCTTTTTGCTTCCATCAAATGTAATTTTAGAGGCACTGATGTCTTTCTCAATAAAAGAGTTGGAATTAGGCTTCTTTAAGGATTGATTGGGAGTAGGCTTCACCGAATTTGATAAATCACCTAGTGGCTTCCTTCCGCCAAGCCCTCCCTTTTTTAAGGATTTAGAGACATTGGTCTTCCCCCCAGCAGATGCTGGTGTAGAAGATTATTTAAGTACGATAAGGGCATTGAAAATAAATGAACAATCACATCTCAAATTAAACAGAAAACACAGGTGACTTACCATTATAGTGAACATTCAAATTCCTATCATGAATCAGGCTACCAACTTGTGATGCCATTGACTATGTTTGTGAAACAATTCAGAGCAGTACACTGCTCAGAAAGAAACATATGTATCATATCAGACAATAACTTTAGGAGAAAAAAAAAAATTGAATAAATTTACTCAGTGTTATGGTTTACATTTTTAATACAAATGAAAAAAGAACCTAAGAAACGAGAAATGGAACTCCCAAGCAAATCAACAAGGTGCATCTTCAAACACCAATCTGCAACGGTTTGTTGTAAAAGAACCCAAATTGAAATCAAACAACAATGAAACAACGGGATAATCCTGATGCTATGGATCTCTCCTTAGAAAATGGTTTAAACACCCATATAAATTCTTACCCACGGAACACCCAAACTTTTTCATAATTCTCAATACATTGATTTATTTTCTCACTCCAAAAGTGTTAGGGTACTATGTTTATCTCTCTAGTGAAAAATTTGGTTCAAACAAAACAACATCAAAATCAAACAAGATGATCTCAATTCTCAAACAGTCCAGCTACCAAACTCTATGTTTCATCAAATTCGTTTCTTGAAGTCTCAAAGAAAAGCAAAAGAGGCCTGCAATTCAACTGCCATGATAGTTATGCTAACAAATCCCCACATCATAGTTTTCAAATTACCAGAAAAAGTGTGGGTCTTCGGTTCAATTCATGCAAAAACACCCAGCCAGAAAAATACCTTTCTGAAAAATTTAATTGGTTTTATGCTACTACTACCTTTCCTGTTACCACTAAAAGCTCAGATAAATTAGAAAGAAAGCAACAAAACTTAAAACCTCAGGTAACTCTAATTTCTGAAAGACTAGAAATAGTATTGATTTAAAAAAAAAAAAAACAGCAATAATTAACCTTTTTCTTAATTCCATCAAGAAATTCAAGATTCAAGATTAAAAACCTTTCTAAAAAATTCTCAAAAACCCAAACCAATAAGTTCATCTCAAAATATATTTTACGGCCCTTTAAATCCTAAAATTTACGAAGTTCTTCTAAAGTTTCCCCTTATTCCCAGTTTGTTTGCCTAGAAAACAAATAGAAGAAAACTGAACTTCGAAACCACAAATTAGAGTTCGTTTCTTCGGGCTTAGTCGATGTAAAATGATGGTTATCTTAAAACCCTAAACAACAAAAATTTTCAAATCTAGGGTTTATTTCTAAAATTTTCTCGGTAACCAAACAGATTAGTCATCAGTGGAAAGAAAAAAAAACCACTCTAAAACATGATAACATCTCTCAAACGAAACGTTAGAAGAAATAAGAAATTTCAGAGGTTTGAGAGAAATAACTCACAAATGGGTGACAAGGTACAATCTTCTTTTATTGCTTCGCTTCTTGATTTTCTCGGCCTTTCCATACAGCTTTCTCTCTTTTGATCAACAAATCAAATCACTCTCAACAAAACTTGCAGTTGTTATTTGAAATGGGTCTCGAAGAACTTTTGGCTCGTGTATCTGTATGTAGTAGTGCAGACAGCACTGGGTTTCCACTTTCCAACGGTAACTTTCTCTTTCTTTTATGTTAAAACCCTTCTCTGGACATACAATTACGAGAATATTATTTTCATTTTAAGCCGTTCGATGACTTGCATTGATCATTTGATGAGTGGGGTATGATGCATTGTGTAAAATTTAAAAAAAAAAACTATATCATAATATTTTAGTTATTTAATCAATATATTTAAGATTTAATGCAGATATTAAAAGTCATATCTATTTTGGATTATGTTATATATGTAAGATTATACCCAAATTTCATATCTCAACAGATTTTACATTAAAGTATTTTTGTCATTTAATAATTCATCTTAAATTATCTTCGTGTGCCACTAAACCAATCAAGCCCAACTAGGATTTTACACAACAGTCAAGGCCTGTTAATTGGGTCATCTCTCATATTCCCAAATCAACAAAAATCCCAATCAGGGATAAGCGTCCCAACCCAAATTTAAAAATTCTAATTAATAATATAAAATTAAAACAAAAGCCAATAAATAAATAGCATCAAAAAGTGCTTTCAAATACATTATATTAATCATTCTTTACTAGAAAAAAAAAAAATATATATATATATATATATATCTATTTTAATCAAATATTATAACTATCATGAGGGCAAAGTCATATTCAAAAGAAAATAGGACACCTACCATATTAGAAAACTACAAATCTATCCTTATGTCATCACCTTCTGACTAAATGGTAGAGTAACTAAGGATAAAACATCACAACATGTATTATATGTACTTATACTTCTCATTAATTGAAAATTTGGTGAGAATAAATGTATGATTTTTTTCTAATAAATTATACTTGTACTATTTCTTTATTTTACAAAATATTTTAATTTAAAAAATTCTTTTAAATCATTAAATAAATGCTAAAACTTTCTCATCAATTTTGGCTTCTTGTATCAATGTCATATTAATTAGCTTCAGTTATGAAGTTTTTTTTTTTTTTCTTTTTTAATTTAAAATTCCTTCGTCATAATATCGTTTATTAATGCAATTCATGTGTTATAGGTGAGCTTCACTGGAAATTGAGGGGGACTTTTATGACAAAGTGCAATAAAAGCACACAGCTGACACCACATTAAACATAAAATGAAGATGTATTGAATTTCTTTGCATTCTCAAATAATTGATCATTTTTATTATAATTAAACAATATTAATTTCAAGTTTTATATTATAAGCATAACATTTTTAGTTTTCGATTAAAGGTTTTACCCAAGAAACGATTGCTTAAGCCATCAACTACTTTGAACCTCCCATCAAGGATTAAGATAGACAGTTAAATAACTCCTCTTTAAACCACATTCAACTGCATAATTGTGGTATGTGGTCACACCAAGTCTTACATTGTGCACTAACATCCTTCTCATTACTGGCCCCATCATAGTCGTGTAACTTCAATCTATCTCATGATGTTGACAATATACAAGAAGTGAAATTGTATGTAAAGTGTTGAATAAGTAGCGACAAGTTACAATACTCACTCCACATTATTAAAATCGCTGATGTTTAATCTATATTCAAGGTATAAATTTCAAGAGTAATACTATACTTATAACATAATCTCACAACCCTGACGTGAGAATTCGCAGTTGGTTTCTAATTAATTTTCTTGTCCGACTAATTGTCAGTTACCACGTCAGAGTTGTGAGAAATAATTTGTGAGATTGAGTTTCGAGCCAATCTTTATTGAAATTTCAATACCCATTAATGCATGTGCATTATGATGACATTCATAGGACAATTACTCATAATTAAATGATATTCTATATTGATTATGATAAAATAAAATTTTGATTATTAGATAAAGTAATATACTTTTATATATATCTTCTGAGTGTGAAATTGAAGGATAATGCTGTCATTTGAGAAATCCTATGGGGTTTGCTAAGAGTTGTGGGGTTTAGTTGGGTTTTGAAGAAACCTTGTGGTTGGTAATCCGTAATTGCACTTTATGAAATGAGATTAGGCTATTATTTGCGTGATAAGGATGATCTTTCATTTTCGAGCACTAATGTTACTAGTTGGATATAATCTATGAATCAAATTCAAGATATCAGGATTTTTTATTTTTTATTTTCAAATCAAATCATGAACTATTTATGTAAAAACATACTCAAAAGACATCCAAACATACATAGCCATACTCATGGGAAGTTAATTTATAGTACTCGGGTTTATACTAATCCCTCAAGACCTTGGAACTATTGGCCAGATAAGAGTTATAGTGGTCACCTCTATTAGCAATCAAGGACGGACTTAAACTCATAACCTCTTGAGTAAGACACTCAAGAGTTCTTATCAAACCACTCGACTACCCAAGGGTTTGTTTTCGACCTAAGTAAGTAAGGTCCAATATGATATAAAAGTGACACTTAGGTTCTTATGAATTAGAAGTAGTTTGAAGATTTCTTTCTGAAAGTCTAAAATACCCCTAATTTGTTAACTTTTACTCTCTAAATTTTTAACATATTCGTCAGGTAACATCAGTTTACTTTTTTCATTAATTTTTAATGTCATATATATAACATAATATTAGAGATATTTTAAACTTTTACCAAAAATATATAAATATATATATTTAAGTAATCAATAATTGATAAGGACATAAGTGTTACTTTCGTGTTTTACTTGACCTAATTGTTATATTTACACAATCTCAGGGATCAAATAATTTCGTCCCTGAGGTTTTGTTTAAATGGCATCTTAGCTCAGTAGAATTTTTCTAATAACGTTTTGCTCCCCATCAGTTACATTTGATAGTTGACAGCATATTTAAAAGAATATATAAAAATAAGTAAAAAGTTTTTCTTTAGGTGACATGGTTGTGATAATCTATTCAGCCCATCAAATCCAAGACTCTCCCTCCTCATTATTGATTTTCATCTTATTTCATTAATTGTAATTAGTAACCTTTAATGTCCTATTTTTGGTAAGGTCCATTACTGAAAACCTCCCTTGATGTTTCCTTTTAAATCAAAATCACCTCTAATTTCAAAAATATCGTTTAGGTCTCTATCATCAAGAGATTTAAGAAAAAGATTGAGACCATTTTAGAAACATACTAGTTCATATTCATGACGATATTGATAATTTCAGTATATTGAATACCCTACAAAGGTAAACAAAGATAATGAGTCAGATAAAGTCATAAATGTGGTAGACGGTCACTTGATGAAATTTGAATACAAGATCTTTGGGTAACTATAATTTTTTTTTTTTTTTTTGGCAATGCCTAAAAAATAACGAGAGAAGAGATTCATACTTAGTTTAGAATAGGTAGCATTTATATTCTTCCCCAACTCATTTCAGATCTTATCAATAGATTCTAAAAACAATAACTGTTTACCATCTTCCTCAATTAATTCTTCGATCTCTTCTCAATCTATATATTTATTATTATTATTATACTGCATTTATATATATTTACCAAATATACACTCTCTGCAATATATTTATTAATCTTCAGAATATATTTTGATGTTTATATACAAGTTTTTAAGTGATTTTATATATATTTGTTTTCGTTAGTAGGTGAGCATTAACAAGAGAAATTGATTGATGAAGGCGGCAATATTTGTGCCCATAAGAAAGGTTTTTGCTAGATAAACCTAATTATTGTGAAAACAACATATTATCAGCATCCCTCTTTAATATAGTGATTATTCTTTTTTAATCTTAATAAGGCCTAAAATAATTGTATAATTACCATGTTTAACATTTTAAACATGTGGTACTGTTACGGTAGGCGTTACAAAAATAAAAACAAAAACCATACATTAAATTAATCACCAACAACTTTTGAATGAATTAGAGATATTTTCATATACATATGCCTCTTTTGCATGGGTTGACAAAATTTAAGGCACTGATATTATTTTCTAATTTCTTAATAAATAAATACAACTATTTGCTCAACTGAGTGTTTGGTGATCGAATTAACCTTACCCCAACCAAATCCCAACGCTATCCTTTTAACACTATTTTTCCCACCCTTGGCGAAGAATGTGGAGCCCCCATATCCAATAAGATCCTGACTCCTCATCTCCCAAATCAGAATCTTATTAGTGGAGCACTCTTCTTGAGCCCACAGCCATTACCATTTTCAGATCATATTATTTTTACCATAAAATCATGAAGACATATAAACTAAAGTTTTTTTGTAATAAATTTTAACATATCTTAAGTTAGTTAATAATCCTAATCATACCAAACACTTGATACACATATTACAATTCGCACGGACAAATCACACACACGTGACAATACTCATAAATCTAACAGCAAGAAGAATTTTTCCTGAAATCCAAACACTCCTTTTATTATATCGTTTGGTGGGCCTTTTCCATTTCCATTTTTTTCCCTTTCCATTTTCTCAGGAAAACGTTAAAAATATAACAATTGATAATATTAAATTAGAAAGAAAATAGGAAAGAGAGAGAGTGAGTGAAGTTAACGCCAAGCAGATGCGACGGTGAGAGTTCGACTCATCCAACCAAAACAGACGCCTCCGTTTTCTTCTTTAACGGTAAATCCTGGGTTGACTCGGTTCCCATAACTGAGCCGAGACCGCATTGACTCGGCAACGTTTTGACTCATTGGCTTCAACTCGAACCCGGCCATGCCCATACGGGCCCGCCACTTTCCAAACACCTCGCATCTCTCAACACGGTCCCTCCCTTCACAAGCAACCGAGTTACCGAGTTTACGACCCAATCCTGCCTCAACCTTCAGTCGTTCCATCCTATCTCTCTGTACAGTGGACTCAATTGAGTCAAACAATGCGCCGTAATAAGCACACGCCTCCTTAACACGGGCCAAGAAAGGCGCCGTATTGGAGTTCATCTCTTGTTCAACCAAAGTAACCACGCGCGGTGCCAATCCCTTCACGCGACGGAGGAGCTCGTCGCGAGGATTGTCCGTAGAGACGCTCTCGTCAGGCATTCTAAACATGTTGAATGCGAAATTAACAGCCAATGGTTCGTCAGGCTCACAACCCAGTGAGTCACGAGTCAGATCACCGAGTTTTAAGGTCTTGACCTTAAACTGTAAACAAACGCCAAATTTATCAGCGTTTTGCTTCAGCATGTTACCGACAACATTCAAACTCTCTTCACAGCCATTCTCAACCACAGCTGTGATCTTCACAATGTAAGGTTTACCATTTTGAGAACGCGTAGAGAGCGCGTGCAGTAGGTTTTGATATTGTCCTCCTTGCCCAATATCAAAATCAATAACGTGAAATTTGTTGCTCGTTGGTTGGTCGAGAGTTGCTTCGATAATGGCAAGATTTGCAGCCATAAACCCAAGCTTGAAACAAGGGGAGAGATCGTAAAGCAACTGAGTCGACTCAACGTGTTCCATACAAAACAGCTCCGTCACAGGCGGTGGATTCTCCACAGGATTAACTCGCGATTTCAATGCTGAGCACATGTACTCCATCAGTCTTTGCTCCGAATTGCCTTTCGAATTGGAAGCCTGACTCAAGCGAGTTAAGCCCTCCCCAGCGACGTCGTTTTTGCCCTCTGAAATCGCTGATGCAGCTTCCATTACTGTCTGTTTTGAACAACTTGAAACCGGAGAAGCCACCGATGAAGACGACGAAGAAGATGAAGTAGGCGAAGCAGAAGATATCGGAGAAATCGGAGTAATGGATTTCGGACTCATGAGATTCTGTATAGTCTCGGACCACTCACTGTTAGTATTGGTTATCACCGAAACCGCGTCACCTTCTTCTTCATCGTTGTCATCTAATAGCTGCTTCTCAAGCTCTTGAAGACGATTCAGCATCTTCTTCTCCGAATCTTGCGCTTGAACTCGGTTTTGCACTGTATTGTGATTATTATTATTCACGTACGGCAAATTCGGGGTCGTTTGTTGTAGGTTCGACCCAGAAACAAGCCCAACTGGTAGATGCTGCTGCTGATGTGGCCTTAACTGCTGTTGAAGAAGCGGCAAGCCGTAACGGTGCAAATCTGAAGATAGAACATTGTTAAACGAAAAATCTACGGGAGATAACGGAGATATCGGAGAGAGATTCTGGAACGTTCTCGGCTTCACTGAGCGTTGAAATATGGTGTTTAGGTTTGAATTGTTGAGGGTATGGTGTTGTAACTGTTGCTGGGTTTGGAAGTCTGTGAAGGTCCGCTTACCGATGAGGTTTTGTGCCGTTCTGTTGGCGATCTGAGTGGCTGGGTCCATGAAAATTCCAGGCAATTGTGATCGATACGACGGCTGTGACGTGTTCCCGTTCATGGATCTGCCCGCAAGACCACCGTACATGTCCGGTCCACCACCTGGAAACCCAGACGACATTTTCTCCTCCTCCTTCTCTTGCTCTTCTTCCGGTTTAGAAGAAGAAACGCATGAGAGATAGAGAAAATAAAAATACGGAAATTTTTAATTAAGAAGATAACAAAGAAAAAGAAACGATTCTCATGAATATAACGGAAGGGATATTTTTATGGAGAGAAGGTGGGGAGTTTACAAGTTACAAGTTACAACTTGCTGTTTCGGTGCAATGCAATGCATGGTGTAACCTTTATGTGGTTTTTTCCGTGTGTATGTCTGCCGCTTTGATTCTCACCGTTTGATCTTTAGTTATCGTGCAGTTTTACATGTTTTCAAAGCTATGAACGGTGATTAAAAGAGTAATACATACTCTTCGTTGCTACAATTTATAGCTTATCTTTTGTCGGGCTAAATTACGTCAACGCTTCTTTCAGGTGCGTGAGTGACCAACCTTTTGAGAAAGTGGAAGAAATTATTGGATTAATGTAAACGCATTCTTTCGTATCATTTGTTTAGAAAAATCTTTTAGTCAAAATTTTTTCTAAAATCGATTTCTTTTAAAACTACTATAATATATTTTTGTAACACCCGAAAAAAAAAAAGAAGTTATATTTAATATTTGATTGTACAATTCTCAATTATTAAATAACTTTTAATGTAATATTAATTATTACATTTAATCTGCCAGTAATAAATTATACTTCCATTTTAATAAACTTAACGTTTCTTGTACTGAAGCACCACTCTAATAATTTAATGGTTTTCGGTGAAGACACGCGCTGGTTTGGGATTTGGGGTATGAATTTTAACTTATGTCAATGAAACGAATAAACGATCTTCGTTCGGCCAGTGATCATCTGACAGGACAGTTACAAACTATTCTAAAAAGCCAACGACAACAACCCATGAACGAAATACACAGAGCTGCGTAAAGCAACGACTTGGACACGTGTACAAATTTCACTGGGCCTTGAACTACTTTGTACTAACAGACCTGTCGATTTAAAACTACACTAACTGGGTTCACTGATTCGATTACCAGTACCTGGTTTGTCCCAGCGGATGACACCTAGTGAATAAGCACACGTGGCGGTCAGAAACGTACACGTGTCAGTTTGGTAACTTTACGTTCGATTACAGAATTTTGAAAACCAGAAAAGTTGGCTGCGTTGGCCATGCCCCAACCATTAAATATTAAGACATACCGAACCAAAAAATTTAAAATTAGATTGTAAAAATAGACAATGCGATTTTATAAGTTTAGGGTAAGAAAATACTAAGCCTTGTTATTTGCTTCAAATTAAAGTAAGTTCCTTAAGAGTTTGTATTTGATATGACAACTTTGCCACTTTTGTGAGAAATCGCCAACTTATTTTATGGGAAGAATACATATAATATTTACTTAACTTATTTGGTTAAAATAATAATTTCCATTTCTTCTAGATATAGTGGTTTTGTTTTCCCATCACCAACTTGGTTTTTTTATTTTTTTATTTCAACACTCAAAATTTTATATCAATGTTATATTATTTACTTAAAATACCTACTGTTGTTATTGTATTTATTATATATTAAAAATAAGAATGTATTTTCATTTATTTCGTTGGTCTCTACTAGATTAACATAAGAAATGAAGGAAATATTAATAACGTTAAAAGTATTAGGTTGCATGCATGTAGTATATTAATTACCCGTAAATTAATGCTCAAAACCAAAGTTCTATATTGCATCATAAATTTCGGGCTCCAAAAAAATAATAATAATAATAATTTATTCAATCTTTTTTATAATAAATAAAGCATATATCAACCAATATATTAAAATTTGTTGGTCTATTTATGATTGGAATAACATTGTATATAATATTAAAAATGAATTGGTTTATTTCCATTGAGTTTTTTTTTTTTTTTTTTTTTTTTTTTTGTAATGATCCACTAACTTACACATATCTTAACTAATCCGTCAAGACCATGAAATTGTCGATCAGATAAGAGCTTCAGTGACTAGTCTTATTAACAACCGAAAAAAGATTCAAACTCGGAATCTTTTAAGTAATACATTCAAGAGTCTCTATCGAACCACTTAACCACTTATAGTTTCCGTTGAGTATTTTGTTTTACATAAAACTTTTTTTTCTGTTTTGCTCCTTTAAGAATCACTCATCAAGGTTCTTCGTTCAAGGTTTTCTGCTTTTTGGATATTGCTTTCTTAATTCCACTAAGAATAATTATTTTGAGAGTGACTTTGTGCTCTTTATCTCTCAAATGGCTTCAAAACTAAGCCAATTCTAAGCAACTAATGACCAATATTCTCTTAAACAAACAATAATTGGTCCATTGAAGCATCCCGTTTTGAATTAAATAACACTCCATTCACTTATAATCTTTAGCTTTTTTTCAATTTTCCCACATCACAAACCTTCATATAAAGTCTTCTAATTCAAGCATTTTATTTGACCAATAAATCCAAACCCTTTACAAAATATACCATCACAAAAAGAATAAATTGTAAAAATCAAAGAAATTGAATATCCCTTCATATAATTCGAACATTAAAAGGTTTAATTAGTCAACCATATCCTAAGTGAAAAAAAAAAAAAAAATCTTATTATAAGTGAGATTAAATTATAATATTATGAAAGACTATAACTATCATAACCAATGTGAAATTATAAACACAAGTATGCACTCAATATTTGACATTTGATTGTAGGTTGCGTGTAGGCAAAAACTATAATCAGAAAATTGGTTAGCAACTTAACCATCCAAACTGCTGTATTTTATTTTCTAATGTATTCCACAAACCGACACGTGTTCACATAAACTTGATTGTGCCACTTGTCCCTTGCCTAACTTAATATCTTCTTCCCAATTTCCATTTCCGTTTTGTTTTTCCTTTTCATAATCTAGATACTCACGCCAATTTTGCAAACACATCAATTAATGTGTGAAATTATTAAACATCTTACAAACTCAGTATATCAGATAAATTATAATATGATAGATGACTCTAAAATAATAATTAAATATTTTTTATTATCAGGCCAAGCCCTTAAGGTTTATTTCCATTTTTAATCAAATTATCATTTATCCAAAACCATGCATTAATTCTAAATAGTAAATACCCACCATTCTTACCTAATTAAGACATGAAATTATAATTGATGGGTAAATTGGTCATAATAAATACACTTTACTTTCGATAAGCAAAGGCAAAGCCGTTGGTTTAAAAGTTGGTGGAGACTGCCTAACAGAAAACGAATCAGTCCTAACTCCTGGCGAAGAAGGGCGGTACTGTAATTTTAATCTTTCGTGGGCCCTGTTTGGTTATAGAGCCATAGAGGTTTTGGGTTAACGGGGATAGCCTGATCACACTGGGAATTGATTAACGCCGACTGAAAGCGATATTTTAAACATTTAAAAAATTGGATGAGGGGCCACGCGCATCTCGATGCGTGGAAACGGACACGCTATCCATGTCACACGAAATCCACACTCCCTAAAAGCTGGCCGTAGACATGCATGGCATATAAACGTGGATCAATAATTCTACTCTTATAAACTTTTCATACAAATTTAATCTTATAAACTTATTTGGCAAAAGACAATTAGATAAATTTAAATCTAAAATAAACTTTTATTCAATAATTTCTTGTCATATAAGTTTGTAAGAAAAAATTTGTATAAAAAGATTATGTGTGTAGTATTATTTAATGTGGATTGTAGCCTTCTTTAACTCTTAAGAATGATTAATCATTTAATTATTAATTAACTGATTAATTGCTTTTATTAAGAATCTCTTTTGTGGTCCATCTTTGTGAGAAACAAGAATTTGACTAGCAGTGTGTTATTTTCTTTTTGAAGAAAATATTTGATTTTATATAAAAAAAATTAGAACTAATAATTGAACAATACAAAGCACTTTCAGGTGATGATGAAAAAAACATTTTGCAAGTGATTTTACAAAAACGACTATTCAAAAGCCTTTTTTCAATTATAAAACCACTTCCAAATGCACTTTATTCTGTTTTATAAAAAGCGTTTCGAACAGAAGTGCATATTATAAAGATCATCTTAAAGTAATTTTTAGAGAAAAAAAAATACCCAATAAAAAATTATCATTATAATATCAATATATATATTAAATAATTCTTAATAATACCATGAGTTAATATAAAAATTAAAACGAAAAAAAAAAACCTTAAGCTCATAAGGACTTTAAGTATTTTTGACGCATTGATTTACACTAACGAGAAGTACGTAGAATTCAGGGGAATCTAAATAGGAATTTGTACAAAACCCAAAGATTTTATGCTTGATCAATGAATGAAAAGCAAATCCAATGCTAACACTGTTTGTGTATTTTTTTCTATGATTTCTCTAAATACAATGACGGGTATTAAATGTTCATAATAGTCAGTTTATATACGTTACATAACAACTTGTAAATATAATTATCTTAAATGATTGGACATGTGGCATAAATTGGATTTTAATAAATAAATAATTAAAATAATTAAAAAAAAATTAGGTCGAGTTCCAATGAGTACAAGAGAAAAAATCCATAGAGGATGGACTGGTTTAAATTTATATAGAAAAAAAAATAAAAAAATTGATAATTAAAATTATCGTTATTCAATTGGCATCACGTATGATACCCAAAAGCTAAGGTGAGTTAATGTGATATATTATCCTTTTCGATCGTGACTTGGAATGGTCTCTATTAATTCTGTCCCCACTTACCCAATTTGTTTCTAATCAGTATCAACTTCTTTTGTTTACCTCTTTTAATTACACACCTATTTAACTTAATTAGTCACTTACTTTGCTCTTCATTATCATGGACCATAAGACAAATCCTCCAAACATCAACTAATCACCTTACAATTTCTATGATATCATAATTTTTTTTTTTTTTTTGCTAATAAATTATAATTGAATTAAAGACATTGACTCTCAAGTTTTTGAAATAATAAAAATCATTAACTATTTCTGAATGATCAAGTGGTTTGATAGAGACTCTTGGGTGTATTATTCAAGAAGTCTTGAGTTCGAGTTCTTATTCAATTGCTAATAGGGATAGTCATTGGAGTTTTTATTCGACCGATAGTTCTAAGGTCCCAAAAGATTAATTGAGATGCGCATAAGCTGACCAAACACCTTCGATCATAAAAAAAAAATATCATTGTGTTAACCACTTTGAG